GAACAAGCGAAAAGGCCCATCAGCCCCACCCAGCACACACAAAGGAAGGGCTGATGCAGAGCCTCTCCGAACGGTCTGGTTTTGCACCCTGCTTCATGTACTCCCGCTCGAAGTCTGTCTGTGTCTGTGTTTGTCTGTCTCAGTCTGTGATTCTTGTGACACCACATATGAATAGATGCGTTGAGCGGCGAGCGGAACAACAAAAATCGTGACCGTCATAAAAAAAAAAAACAGCCGGGCCATCTTTGTCATATTTAGAAACGCAAGATTGCCACAGTATGATAACAACTGACCCACAGGTTGGTGTAGTGGTGACGCGTGGAGCTTTCAGTCTAGCGACATCGATTCGAGTCCCTTTGTACCCTTGCGTTTTCTCCTTGATAAAAATGGGGCGTTCAGGTCGCAAGTCTCAAGTGATCAGTTTCTCCACTTGCCATCCTAATACAGAACCGGCCCGCACTTAAGAATATGGACGTTAAGAATTTGAGCCACAAAAAATCCAATTTTTAAGAATTTGCCCGTAAGAACACGTGCTCAGATCGGACCTGCTGTTAAGAATAAGAACCTCCAGTGAGGTGTACGACTAGTGCAACAGACAAGAACATACGACATGACGCGGCGGTGGCGAGAGAAGAACATACACAGATGGAGGAGGAGGGGGGGGGGGGCATTCCCAGGTTTTTTGCTAGGTAGTTGGTACCTACCTAGACTTTTAGATTTTTTTTTTAGGTGGGGGTCTGCTGTTCATACACGTCGTGTCCCGTGCCAGCGAGTTTTTTTTTTTACCACGCAACGCGGTGCAGCGTGCCACGAGTTGCCTGCCGTGCAGGGGGATCATGTCCCTGTCCAACCCCCTATCCCATGGGTTGTTGAAGGACCTTGGCAAACTCTCGGAGTTGAAACAACGAGGACTGATTCTTGACCGTCACTTCGAGACGATAAAGGCACATGTGAAGGCGGGCAACTCCGTTGCGAAGGAGCGATGGGACGCAATCGAGAACGCATGGGGGCTGATGCAGACGGGTGTATTCAACGAAGAAGAGTGGATCACGCAGATTGATGGAGAGGCCCAGGGTATTTCCACCAGCACCCGTCCGTCGTTTTTAACGCCACAAGATGCGGGCGGCGCGCGAGGTGCACCGTCTTCGCACCCACCGCCTGCTACTGCTGCGGCTGCCGGGAAGAGAAAGGTCGCAGATCGGGGGAAGCAAGTCAGGAATCGAGCTGCCCAAGGTGTTCTAGGTGGGAACATCATCAACGCGTTCGCTCGTGGCAGCGGAAAACCGGTGAGTTCAGTCGTCTGACAACTCTGTTGCTGTGATGATGTACATATATACAGCAGTCGTACGGCGGTCCAGCCGCTGTATGTATGTAGTGTAGATACAGCAAGAGTGCTCCTGCTGCTGCTGTTGTTTAAAAAAAAACGCGGTGGTGATGAAATGAAAAATCGAGAGAAAAACTACTCTGTCACAGGTTGGTGTAAACGACTGACTTTCAGCATGGCGTATATGTATGTGTACAACTTTTTCAAATATTCTCCGTTTGCCTCACGTTTTTGAGGAAGGCAAGGACGGCACAGTAGACACAGTGGCGAAAAAGAACGCGTACACGAGCGCCGTGCCAACCGTATTTTGTAACCTTTTTTTTGCAGCACCGTGAAACAAACACACGAGAGACGGTCATGTAATCACCCCCCGCCCCATCTGCATAGATTTATATATTTTGCCATCGACATCCACGCAATTTTAGGTCCACAGCTCGTTGAATCACCTGCACTTCAATTCCGCCCTTCTCCTACCGCGCCGTGCAGATTGAGCGGACTCGCGGTGGTGTCACAGAGCATGTGTCGGGCATCAACTTCCCACCTCCGGCCCCAGAGCGGCGCCTACCGTGCACTCACTGTCCCATGACCTTCGTGAACGAGCAAGGACTTGGGATCCACGTGAAAACACAGCATAGCAATGCAAACATGTCCAACAGCTTGCGGCTGCAGCGGATGCTGGGGAAGACTCCCAAAGGGCATGTTCAGCCGTGGGAAGAAGCCGGGCCTGGACGTTGTTGGCACGTGAAGGTCGATGGTGCCAGGGGGGCGGCTTCGTTTGTCCTCCAACGGAAGCGCTTCCGCGATCTCGACTTGGAAAGCGACGGCTTTACGGACCGCAAAGTCAAGGAGACTCGTGGAGCTGTGAAGCGCAAGCGATACGACTACAGGTTCAAAGCCCATGTTGTGACCCAGCTGCGCCTCCTCCAGGAAGACGCCGCAGACCTCTTCAAGGAGGAGAAGCTCACGCCTCTCCAGTACTTAGAGGACCGTCTCAAGGTTAACTACAGCCTGATCGTGAAGTGGGCTCAGGACGAGGCCAATATAGTCCAATCGGCAGCAGATGACGTGAAGAAGACCCTCCTTGCCAAACAGCAGCCAAAGCGGTGGTTTCCTGAGGAAGAGAAGAAGCTGCACAATATGTTCTTGGCGCGGCGGAGGAGGAAGCTGAAGGTGTCGACCCTGTGGCTGACGGTCACCTTCCGGAAGCTCGTGCAAGAGAATCACCCTGAGGACCAACGGGCGGCGGCGTTCAGCGCGTCCTTCAGGTGGGCACGAAAATGGGCAAAGAGGCATAAGCTGTCCAAACGGCGCAGGAGCAACCTCAAGAACAAGTCTGTTGAAGAGCGCCTACCAAAGATCCAGCGCTTCCACCGGCGGTTTCGCAAGCTCCTGCAAGAGCCGGTACGGTACAGGGCACCCGAGGCATCGGACGTGTCGGCGATGTCGACGGTCGCGGAGGGAGAGTCCAGAGATCCCAAGTACGGTCAGTTCCAGCTCTGGGAGCGTTGGAATGTGGATCAAGTGCCTTTGCCATTCGTGAACGGGCTGATCAGCACGTGGGAAAAAACAGGCGCGTTGCGTGTAGCCATCTCGCAGCCCTTTGCTGGCCTAGAGAAAAGGCAGTGCACCATGCAAGTCATCTTTGGTCCGGGTGAGAAGACTATGCGGATTTCGGTGATTTTCCGAGGCCAGGGGAAGCGGATTTCGCCGGTGGAGAAGGCCGCGTACCACAAGGACGTCGACGTGTTTTTCCAGCAGAATGCGTGGGCGGACCAAAAGTTCTGCATGGAGTGGGCCAAGAGGTCGTACCGCGAAGGCCTGATCCGCGGGCGGGGTGAGCTCCCCAAGGCGAGGTCCATTCTGATAATGGACAACTTGCACGCGCAGACCACGGACGAGTTCAAGGGGTATCTTGCGAAGCAGTGCAACACTCTCGCCTGGCTTGGCCCTGCGGAGTGCACGGACGAGGTGCAGCCAGTTGATGCAGGAGCCGGACGATTTCTCAAGGTGGAAGTTGGCAACGAGATGGACAAGTGGCTCGATCAGTCGGACAACATCGAGAGGTGGGAAACCGCGTCGCTGACAGCTTCTGACCGGCGCGTACTGATCACTCAATGGGCGGGAGCGGCCATGGAAAAACTCAACAGCAATCAGGGGTACCGACACCGCCTTTTCGAAAAGTGCGGGATGGCGATGACCGTGGACGGCTCAGGCGATGATCGAATCACCTTGGAGGGTTTGGACCAGCCGTACACCTTCGCAAACGATGAAGACTCCAGCGAGAACGAAGGAGGTTCGGAGGACGGCAGCGATGGGCCCGAGGGGAAGGAGGAGGAGGGCGCCGGAAGGCGCGAGCCGGTCGTCGGGGATGAGCGCAACGGTGCCAACAGCGGGGAGGGCATGGAGGGCGCTGGATACAGCGATGAAGACGACGACAGTAAGTTTGATTGGCACTACATAGACTACAGTTAATTCATTGTCCTTTTTGTTCGTCTTGACGACAGTAAGTTTGATTGGCACTACAAGACTACAGTTAATTCATTGTCCTTTTTGTTCATCTTTCCTTGTGCTGTTTGGGATATTGCTGATATTCTGTTTCCGCGTCACGTCTACGAGCAAATGGTGTGTTCACTTCAGTTGAGTAACGGCGATGACACCCGTACGTTCCTTCTCGTGTTTCACGGTACCCTTCGTCGCAGACATGTCTCAATCCCAGACCGACGAGCTAGCTCTTTTGGACGAGGACGACAGCATGGACCCAGACGACCCGGAGGACGAGACGCAGGGAATGGAGATCCCGGCGGGCTTTCGCCTTCAAGAATTTACCCCCGCTGCTCTTGACAGATTGCTTTTGCAACGTGGAGTGCTTGTCCGGCTGGGCATGGGGTGGTTCGGTGGGTTGATCATTCAGCAATCTCCGCAGCGCCACCTGTACGACTACTGTGTGCAGCTGGAAGTAGACCACAGTACGCGCAAGATGAAGCTGCCCTTAGACAAGTACAGCGGAGATCCGGACGCGGCGGTAGGCTCATGGGTTTTGCTTGAGAGCGTCAGTAGGGCGGGAAGGGTACGCACCCCCAACGTCACTCTTGTGGACCAAGACGGTTGACAGTTGCCCCATGGGGGGGAGTTTGCGGGTATGAAACTCTGCCTCGAGTGCAGTTGAGTAGTGCACCAATTGAGCAATCGATGATGAAATAAGAACAAGAACACCGTTTCTGGAGACAACTTGACGACGAAATAAGAACCTGGCAAATAAGAACTTGAGCTCGGCTTGGGGCAGCCAACAAGAAGCGAGCCTCGCTCCAAATAAGAGGTTCTTAAGTGCGGGCCGGTTCTGTACCCAAAAAATAACTAATAATTACTTAAAAAACAACTATATATCTTTCTTGTCGCTTTTTCTAATAATCCAAATTCCTTGAGCAAATCACAAAGCTTATACATGTATGCGTCCCTGTGGGTGCATATCATTTTTCGGGTAGAATATCATGTATGTTGATAGGCTACCGTCTACAGTCGCCGTTCATTGTGTGGCGAGACTGTGTTCCTCAACACGCCTCCTTTCATAATTTAGGGGGATGACTTGCGGCTTCCCCCTCCCGCGTGGTGGTGCAAGGTGATGCCGTGGTGCCCCCTCGGCCATCTCACATCAAACACAGCAAGAAGGTCCGATGCGATGCGAGCTGTCTTGATGAGAACAAGGAAGGGGGCACCCTCGCTTCCTTCCAATGGGTGCCGCTGCTCCCGCGGCCGCAACGCGTGCAAGGATACGCCCGAGCTGCTCCTCCGCCTGCCAGCGCTGTCTACATCTACCGCCGCCAGCGGCGGGGTGGGTATTAGTGTCCGCAAGCGGATGATGCCGCTCATCAAGCTCGTGCATCCCGACATGTTCGGACAGTATCCTCCCGACGTGGCCAGCACTAACTCCAAGTCCTTGAAGGTGCGTAGCGGGTGGTGATGTCTGCTTGGCTTGAAGCTGAAAGTCGCCTCTACGCGAGTGGGATTACAGCAGTAGAAAAAGAAAATAAGTTTTGGTGGCTCTACGCTGGCTCTTTGTCGAGTGCTGTCGCACCATCCTCGCTCCAGGGAATGATGATCTATCACGCTGGAAAACCCACAGCAGCACTGGAGCACGCTTAGCCTCCCGAAGTAGTGCTGCCGAGTGCTGCCTTTCTTTGATGGATTCAGGGGACTTCTTGGTCTGCAAGGTCTACAGCACCAGGTGTAGAGGTACCACCGGGTGCACTGATTGTACTTGAAATTTTAAAGTTGATGGTGGAGACAAAAAAGTTAATGTGCTAGCAGCAGTCGAAAACGCGCTGCTTTCGTAACAGCAACGCTCGAATGTATACCCAGCAGCTGCAGCTGTAGCCCATGTGTTTTTCGCTACTTTTCCTCTGGCTTCGAGATGCAGCAGCCTTTGTTTGCAGCAGAGCCTGCACCATACGACCAACCCCGCCACACCTGTCTGTGTATTTGACGTGTCCACACACACACAGTATTTTTACGTTGTTACCTGGCAGGACCTCAACACGCTGATTGACGCTGCGGAGGCCTTGGAGGCAGGGGCTGCCGGAGCGAAACCGGCCAACGGCAGCGGTAGCGTAAGGTCGCCGGCGCCGCCCCCGACGGTGGCCTCGTTCTACTCCCTCACCTTCTTCCACCACAAGCAGAACCCCTCCCCGTCCGACAACGCCGGCCCCAACAACAACGCCGACAAAGCATGGCGGCAATCGGGCAGAAATGATACAACAAACAGCGGCAGCAGCAGCAGCAGCAGCAGCAGCAACAACAACAACAGCAGCAGCAGCTCGCTCGTGGAGCTCAGCGCCGAGCTCAGGTTTCCCCCGACGCTCTCCTCCGACCCCTCGGGATCGCTTCGCGGGCAGCTCCGCCGGCAGCTAGACGGGCTCTTGCGACGGGCATCGGTCGGCTACGACCACGGGAATGCTGGCGGTGGTAACCAGGAGACAGAAGATGAGCAAGCGAGGAGGGCGATTGGGGACGGCGTGAGGGTGAGGGAGGGGGGAACGGAAGAAGCTTTCTACGGCGAGGCGTTCGGAGTGGGCAGAAGGAGGAGGAGGGGGGGGGCGCCTCGAGATGGCATTCGGACGGAACGGTGGGTGATTGGATTGGTCGCTTGGTTGGCTGTTTGAGGTGGGGGCTAGCCCAAACCCCAAAAGACCGTACGTCGGCGTGGTGCGTTACCCTATTCGCTGAACAGGAGTATGTCCTCGAATAACGGCTTAAACGTGACGTGGAGGGATGGAGCCAAGGCACATTCCAGAACCTGGAAAAGTTTTACTGTAGTTCGGCAGCCTGGTTGAGAGGCGACGGTCACTCCACGAGTTGCCTGCCCCGTTGACACTGCACCAAAGGCAACCGGCCTGCCACCAGCGAATGCCGCAAAGTTTCTGTTACCTTTATCTAGTAATCAGATCTCTGGTGCGTTGGCTCTGGTGTTATGCATCGACTTTGCAATCACACAGGTTGTTGGAGCTTCTCGTTGTTTTCTCGTTTGCAGAGATACAACAGCGCCGCATGCAAGCAGCACGTCACCTCCAAAACTCATACTGCAGTCCGATGTGTATTGTTTTGCCCTCGGTTGGCTGAAAGGCGCAAGTTTTTTTTTTTGTGTGTCCTGGGATTCTCCGAGGCGAGGTTCCGCATGCTGTAATAGCTTGAGCCGCTTCTTTCAACTTACTTTTGGTGTTTTGTGTGTGCTTTTCGTTCGCGTGGTAACAAGGGTCGCTGATCTTTCTCGCCTTGAAAATGGAAAAGGGTGGCGCAGATGGAGCACTCAGTTGTTTTTGTTGCAGCCGTTGCCGTTGTTGTTGTTGTTGTTGTCTGCACAGTCAAAACCGTTCCGGTCTCCCCTAAATACCTCCAAATGTCCATACTTGACCATCTGACTGTCGCGGCAACCTGCCGTGGTGGCAGACCAGCTAATCTACCCAAAAAAGGATTTCAACTTTCTAGAAATCAAAGTCGTACGCCGAATAATCGTAGCGCCATAGGTGAGAGATGCGAGGCGATGCGGAGGGTCGATGCCGAGAGCCACGTGGCACGCGATTGCCGATGACTGTTGACCGGCATGAAAGACCATCTTGGTGATGTATCTCTTCTTTTTTGTGGATGGTGACTTGCGGGTCCGTATCCCTGCTGTCGTTCTGTCTCCCTACACACTCTGCACCCCAAACCCATGTTTCTACGCATCTACATCGGTCGACGGTGCTTGGTTTGGCTACAATTGTACACACCTACGCATGCAAAGGGTTGACTCCTGGGATCGGGCATTGGTTCCTTTTCCCACCTGGTGGGTTGTCGCTATCTACCTAGGGTATGGTACGGGGATTCAAACAATGCTAAGTTTTGTTTTGTTCGGGGACTCATCGTACCAGCAGCACTAGCAGCACCAATGTCATCGGCAATGACAACGACGGCATAGGCGGTGATGACAACGACAGGAACCTTAGCGGCGGAGGGTTAGCGAGACACCGAGTACAACATGATATGCATACCTAGTCCTATTCTCGGTCCAACCAATAGCACGGCAGCCAAACCTTAAGCACGACTTGGTCGGAAACACCGATGGCTGTTTGCTTGTCGAAGCGATGCTAATTTCGTTAATCTCTTCCGTGCAACAATAGCAGAAGAGACAAACTTAACTTAACACCACCAACAACAATAACAACACCAACACGATCTTAAGGATCTCCGGCGCAGGCCTTCTACGCCAATGCGTTGTTGTTGTTGTTGTTGTTGTTGTTGTTGCTGCTGCTGTTGGTGTTGGTGTCTTCATATTAGAAACCGTTCTGATCTCTCCACCCAATACCACCTGTCCGCTAGTCTATAATAGACTATCTCTTGATGCGGTCGATTCCCGTCGTCACACGCTAACCTGTCCACAACGAGTATCCTAAAATAAAATGGACCCTCAAGGTCCTTGTACAAAATCTACCTGACAAAATCCAACTTGAACGACATGACCGCAGGGCCTCCAGAACCACCAACCGGGACCAAGGGGATGAGCCGACGATTACCTCCGAGGAGCTTCGCAAACTCACCATCGAGCACGCGGGGGACAACCACCATGTCGACCCGTGGGACGCCGGCGCCGGTTCGGGTTTCTTCGGGGGAGGGCTCGGTGGCGGTGGGGGAAAGGGGGCGAGAAGGTTTGGCGGCGCCGAGGCTTCTTCGCAAGCGAGATCTCGACGGGTGAGGGGAGAGGGGTACGGGAGTGTATGCAGAGAGCCCCTGTATGGCCCTCTACAACTTGGCAGTCATGAACCTCATGCCATGCTGTCGACCATGAAAAGTTTAGTACGAAGTACGTACAATTTTCGAGTCTGGTTAAAAAACATTGCACTAAATCGTATATAGCGACCATTCGTAGCATGACCCTCGGAATACAGTAAGAACCCCAGCCTCGGCAAAAACTAGAATTTCTCATGTGCAGGCGCTATCTGTAAAAGGGCGTCATGTGTTGTCATCTACCGTATAACACTGCGTGCTGCTGGCCTGCGTTAGTTTTTCATGTCGTGTGTACTTACATGAGCGTTGTTTTTTTTATTGGCATGACCTGTGTTTTGTTCTTGGTGGTGTGGAATGGTGTGTGGTTGTCGAGAGGGACGTAGACGGTGACGATGGTAGGCACGGATGCGTTTGCAATAGCGAAGTGTGTCTTTGTCTACTACAGCTGCTTGAGGCCGGGATTGCGCACAGTGGTGCTGCCCTCACAGATATCAAGCTTGATTTTTCTCTTCTTCAGGCATCTCGTTTATCATCCAGCCTTCCCTACGGTCTTGACTCCCTGAACCGAAGAACTCGGATTAGGGTAGAACCTAAAACAGATGAAATTATCTTCGACGCGCACACGCCCCGGTTTTTTTTTGTCGTGTTTGATACATTGTACTAGGGTGATGCACGATAGGTAGCGTTCGTTGCCGTCTTCGGTCTCGTTGGTAAAGCGAGTAGATGAGGGAGTCATCGTCAGTGAGTGAGTGCGCTACACCCTACACCCCCTTCTGTTTTCGGCCTCTGCATGGAGCACCCACGCCGCTGTCTCAATGCGCTCGACTCGACTACCGATTGCGACGGCGACACGTTCGGACCTAACCCTGACCCTAACCCTAACCGCATCGGAGAGTTAACCCTAACCGCATCGGAGAGTTAGGGTTAGGGTTGGGGTTCGGAGAGGTGGTACAGTAAGGTACAGTAAGGTACAGGAAGTTGTGTGTCCGTGGGCGGCGGAACATCCAGTCCTATCCTCTCGTGTTGATGTTGTGGCATCTGCTGCTGTTGTTGTGCTGTTTCTTGTTCTATATTCTATGGCTGGATTCATTTTGGGCGTTTTCTCCCGCCAAAGGACGGGGCATGTTTCTCAACGATGCCAGCGACGAAAGAAAGGCCCGACCCCTTAAGGTTCTTTTCTGCGTTCCTCTTCTTAGAGTATCCCTACTGCTCTTGCTGTTGCTGCTGTTGCTGCTGCTGCTGCTGCTGCTGCGGCTGCGGCTGCGGCTGCGGCTGCGGCTGCGGCTGCTGTTGCTGTCGTGGGGTTTCGGTTAGGCCGGTAGGATGCAATATGACGTCTAGAAGAAACAGTTCATTGTTTTTAATATGGTGTTCGTGTTGGTGTTATGTATCTGATCGCAGGTGGACGATCTCTTGCGGAGCGGCAGGGTGCAGTTTGCGGGCGTCCCGGTGTCCCGCGAGGCGGCAGCTCTGCTACGGCTACACCAGACCCTCGTCAAGCACTTCGAGCATTTGGAGTTGCACGATAGGGTGAGCATTTTTTTTTTTCCCCGACGTTGCCCGCTATGGGCCAGTTTTGCAGAATCAGAAGACGCACGTGGGAGTTCTTGCCTTTCCCGCCGAATTTCCCTGCTTTTTGCCAGCATTACCCTTTCAGAAGACGCGCACCGCACTTGCTTGTACCCCACATCGAAAGGAGCAAGGCCCTTCCCAATATCCCCGCCGCTCCCCATCCCGAACGCCGAAGCCGCCGCAGTCGACAATTTCCTGTCCGCCGTCTTTGTACACCACTAGCAGACCCGTCCTGCTCCCTTCTGCCCTCCAATGCTCTTGCCCTTGCAGGGGCTGTGGAGCACCGTCGTGCTGGTGCTGAGGGCAAGGTCGGAGAGCTACGAGGTCCAGGTGCACTCGGGCGGCCCTGTCCTCGTTTTCCCCGAGAAGTTCTCGGAGAGAAGCCTGGTTCGCTTCTTGTCGGAGGTGCTGCTGTCGTACACATAGCTATGTAGCACCGGAGTGTCTGGAGTAACGCAAGAAGAATGTTTGGCACAAGAATGTAAAGTTGGGAGTAAGGCGAAGGCCCCCAGCGGCATCTTCGAGGGTTGCCGCGGCTGGCGTTGAGGTTTAAAGTAGATGCCCACGAGGATGAACAACGTGACAACCTCTAGAGGAGGGCGTGGGGGGCAAGCGCTCGCCGCTTGTCTGGCACGTCCTTTGGGGCTGCACCACTGACGTTTCAGTCTGTAATTTAGTCTGGTGTTTGTTCGGAGCAACGCATGGCTTTCGTGTATTTGTCATTTTAAGATGTATGCTAGACTCTTGTTATTCAGCAGTCTCTTTGGGCAGGAGGTACACTTGTGGTTAACGGGACGAAGGCGGTGGTATATTATAATAGATTTTTCGTTTCATGTCAAAGAACGTGTGCTATGAAGATTGTGTGGCGTTCTGTGGTGGAACACCGCTGCTTGGAGAATAATACATACTAGTTACCGTAGATGCGCAGCGCACGGGCGAAATGCACCATAGTTCACGGGGTGGTGGTGGTGGTGGTGGTGGTGGTGGTGGTGGTGGTGGTGGTGGTGGGTCTGAACACCGTCAAAGGGGCTGCTGCTCCTAGAGCACCCCGTGCTGCGATCTGGTTGGCTAGATAAAGCCATATTACATTTCAACAAGCGACTGCTTGGGCCGCCGGAGCGGACATACATCTCTTTCTACACCGTGTCGTAGCGTATCCAAATCTCGATGCCGGAGTTGTCATCAGGGTTGGCGGCGCATTCCTTCTCCTTGTCCCCGACGACGAGGAGAGAACAACAAAATAGGACTCCTGACACTTCGCAGTCACCCAAGGATTTAGTTTGCGGAGCTCGGGTCGATGGCAGATGGTCGAAGTGGCGTAGGAGAGGGTCTGCCCGTAGCACAGCGCAGACAAGAGGTTCTCGAGGGGATGTTCATAGCGCAGGGGCGAGGGCAGGGCAGCACCGCTTGTTTGGGTACAGTCTCCTAGTTGAATGTCGAGTCTGCATGTGTTGGCAGGGTTGATGTATGTGCGGATAGTCTTCTGTACTAACGAATCTGGCCCAACCCTTTGGTTGGTGCGGGTCCATCTATGTCATTTCTGGCGAACACCAAATATTTCTGTCCCTCGAGGGAAAAGTAAAAATCCAACGTTTCATTTGGGGGATGGAGATGCAGTCGCCCACGTTGGGGCATAAGCACGGTTGACAACCCTTGACACCCGCACCACCAGTCTTGCAGTTGTCGAGGACAGGTGCTCCCCCGTCCTCTCTCCATGGGTCAAGAGTGTCTTCTGCTGATGCGAAGCACCTTCGCCACTGCACCCCATGTCGCCCTCTGGGGAAAGCAGCAGACTACCCGCATTTCACACGCGTTGGTTGCCCATGGACGGGGTCAAGCTCTGGCGCATTCCTCCGTGACACTGGAAACAACTCTATATGCTTGCACCCCATGCCCCGCGTCTCAAACCGAAAGGACACGAGTTCGGATATCCTTCTGCATTGTAGGGAGAAAAAAAAGCTTTGGTGCCGCGTGAGGCCTTCTTTTTTTTTCATGGTCGGATACGTCCGTTCACGTATGAATGTGCAACTCTTCAAGTCGTGCACCGTACAGTCGGTGTGTCCGACCCAATCAGCTTATCGAAGACCTCGCGGCTCTCATCCGTAGTCGCAAAATCATCAACCTCGGCGCATGGTGCCTCTCAATTGTGACTCCAAAAGGGCTCAGCATCCTCCCCTCAAAGAACACTCACGAAGAAGCGTCTTAGACGACTACAGTACGCTGTAGATACAAGCGACAGGCGACACACGCCCGAGAACTGAGCTCTTTCTCACCAAGCACACGCGTAGAGTTTCGACGTTTACCTTACTGTACCCCCTACAGCAGACCATCAGGGCGGCCGGCTCAACCCTTAACCAACCTCAAGCGATGCAACGATGCGCTCAAGTTTTACCTACAATGTATTTCTTCCTGCGGAATTTGGTCTACATAGAACAAAGGCCATTGCCCATAGAGTAAGAACAAAAAAAAAACTTAGACTTCCCCCGGTTGCGTTATCCTCGCCCGTTTTAGCGACGGTTTTTCGCGGCATTCTATAAACAGGCACGACCTTGCCAGCCAGGGACAGACCCTTCTATTTTCTCTCTTGATGAACCTACCTTTTTATCACGCAGCCGGAGAAACCAACGCCTTCCGAAGCTATCTACCGCTGACGGTAGTGTTGGCGTGGATCAAATCACCTCACACCTCGCACCACGAAATCAGTGGTCGCAAATAGTTGTACCTTTAAAGGTAGTTCTAATTCGAAAAAACAGAAGTAGCCCGCAGTCGATACCGCTGAGCTCGCCGTGCAAGAACAAATATGGAAAGCAACCGACAACGCTACATGTGCGGATTGCACGGGGTACTTGGAGCAACATCGGGCAGCAGCAGGACCTCCCACCACCACCGCAAGCACGGTGTCACTGCTGCTGATATGCCAAAAGTTTACTTCAAGTCCAACATCCAACATCGAAGTTCGTGACGTCGTGCAAGCGGGGATGGACGAAACTCAACCCACGTCACTGCAACATACGCCTCTAGCATGCGACGAACGCATGACTCGATAGTTCCAACGAAACGAAAAATTGATCATCTCCATCTCTCGACAACAAGCGAGGTGGCTGTCTCTCAAACGTCGACCTCTCTCGTGGATACTGCTCAAGAAATCGCAGATGTTGCTTCTTGGTTTTTCGATCAGATCAGGTCAGATCAGGTCAGATCAGCCGTCGGCCCGCACGTACGTGTGTTTTACTTGGGGTGAGCTTCGCGGAAGGCCTTGCGGGCCTCCCTGCGCACGCCCTTCAGCTTCTCCTGCAGGCACCAGGCACCAGGCAGGCAGCAAGAGGGGAGGCAAAAAGTGAGACTACGTACGTTAAACTCTTCTGACACGATCTGATTCTGCGGGCACTGCGACTCGTGCTTCAAACATACTGTTCTAGTCCGCCGTAGCACGGAGGAGGATGCGTTATTGTTGGCCAGATTGCAGATTGTATTGCAGGATTTTTCCCAAAGGGGGGGGGTTACACAACCCGTGTCTGCTGCCCCCCTCTCTACGTTACCGCCGAGATCACTGGGCTTCTACTACATGGGCTTCGTTCCATACATCGATACAAGACACATCTCCTTGAGGCGTATCTCGAGTTGGTTGTCGCCGTTCTTTGCGAGTTCCTTTCAGTGCACTACAGTGTACAGCACACGCACGTGTACGCGCGTACAGGACCGCGTAAACGTGGGTGTCGTTCCGAACTTTGCCGCTGTGCCCTTCACGTTTACGTTTACCTTGTGTTCCGCGGACAGGGGTGTTCCCTTGGGAATGTTGTGCTTGTCGCGGTAGGCCCTGGCGACCTCGTTCACCTTCGTCGACATTCCGGGGAACTTGGGGTCATCCCCCTCGCTGTCCTGAAAACGGAAAAAAAGAAACGGAAACAAGTCAAACAAGTCAGAATTCTTCAGGAGAAAAACAAATTACTGTAGAGAGCCGTGGTCGACACCACACACAACAGACAAAAAACGTAAACCAGGTTAAATTCTTCAGAAGAAAACCTGACAGAGCTGTAGTCGAAAACAAGAAACACGACAGAGCGAAAACAGAGGGACAGAAAGCGTGATTGCAGCCGCAGAAGCTCTGTAGTGTTTATTGACAATGCTGATTGCCAGAAAACCCGTCCGAGATCTGCCTGTCGTACATAGATGGGGTGTTGCCACACGTTTTAGTGCCGGGCAACAACGACTGACGCATTCCTTACAATACAACAAGATGAGAGCTGGAAGCTGCTGCCCAGCACTTGTAGCCTGAGTCGGTGGAACAGACCACACCAGCCACAGCCACACCGCCCGTCGGCTTAAACTCAGTCCCGAACAGGAACAACACAAAGAAGATTCCTACGAATAGAGGTAAGAATACGCGTGCTTTAAAAATGTAACAACTGCAGCTGCAGTTGCAGCAACTACAAGCATTACAACAGTAGCAGGAAACAACAATGAGCTGTTGAACCAGAAGCAAAAAAAAACATTGCCAAAAAATTACAAGTAGCAAATTTAAGCGAGCAATAGAGAGCAACGAAGAGGACCATAACACCAACCCACAAAGTTTCTAAGCAGATCGCAATAGTTAATCCAACAAGTGAAAGAGCAACAACCAACGTGTTACTGTATGCATAGCAACCCCGATTTCGGTACAACTCTTAAAAGAAAACAATCTACATGAACCTAAAAGTATTTTTACCCATTCAAGATATCAAGTGTATGCCCGCCAGCAGCTGTACGCCACGCGAAAGAACTTCAACCCCAGCAAAACTTCAATTGCAAAATTAAAGCACCCGCCCGCTCGGCGAGATTTAGCGACAAAACGTAACCTACAGCATGAGCGTGTTCCTGCCCCCCTGCCCCCTACTGCTCCCGGCTGCAGCCAATCCTCAACCTCGGGATTTGTGATGTTCATGAACCACGCGGATCTTTGTGGTCGCGCGTGCGTCGGATAACCCACACAACACAGAGATCCTCCAAGCAACGTTCGGCAGGGTTTATGTCTTGAGCCCTTGATATATCCAGAGAGACGATAGTGTGCATGTAGAATCAAGACTAGACTCACCGAGTCACTGCCACCGTGGTGGTGGCCGCCCCTGCCGCCCTGAAAACCAAGAAAAGGTCGACGGTACCGGAGGAAAGGTAACCACGGGAATTGGTGAAGGAGCAAGGGGGTCAAATGTGATTTGTTCGGCGAAATCTGTCCTAGGGGAAAATCCACGGACGAATAGAACGCAGACAAGCCTCTGACGTACAGTAGCGGCCGCAGTTTTTGCGGGAGGTGCGCGTCAGAGCGAAACCGGCAGTGCACTACAGCACCTCGCACACTGGGGAGTGGCGGGGCGGGGGGCGACGGGGACAGACTGCACTGATTTTTTCTTCACTTCGTTGGACAAAAACTTGCTCAAACACAGCAGTTGAGGCCGGACAGGCCATCTGGTCGGCAAAAGATTCGATCGTTGTATGTGTATCAGAGGGAGGGATGGACAACAACAGAGTACGGTCATCGCCGAAGCAGCTACAGCAGTACCCCAGCCAAGCACCAGAGATGCATGTACGGGTTAGTTGAAGACAACGCCTTAGGCGCCCAAGAGAGGGCACCTGCTCGACCCAAGGCCCCAAACAAAAACAACCCCCCGATTGTGGCCTGTGGTTCTTGCAATCATGATTTCTCACGGATGTACATATCCGTTTCCACAAATGTAAAACGTCGTGTTCAAAGCCGAGGTCTCCCGGCCGAAGGATCGATCGCTCTGAGCAAACGCCTTGACGCTACCCGCACGCCCTCGAGCGTGAGCATGATGATATACTGTAGTTTATAGAACACGGGGTTGGGGATGCGGCTGTTGTGCCTGACATCATGTCGCGGCGGGTGTGTTACCTCACCGTTTCATGTTCAACCGCTCAACCGCTCCCAAAATTCGAGATTTCTCCGACAGCAGTCAATTTTCGTCGCGCGTGCACATAGACTACAGCGGTGCAAGCAAAAGCAGCGGCCGACTCACGTGCTCGCCTCGACCGCCGCCACCACCCCGACCACCAGGGCCGCCGTGAGCGGGCGCGTGGCCTTCACCCCGCCCACCCCGTCCCCCTTCATGCTCGCCTCGACCGCCGCCGCCACCGCGGCCACCGCCCGGGCCGCCGTGGTGAGCGGGCCCATGGCCTTCGCCCCGCCCGCCCCGACCTCCTTCATGCTCGCCGCGGCCGCCGCCGCCACCCCGACCACCACCAGGGCCTTCGTGAGCGGCCCCGTGGCCCCTGCCGCCCCCGCGGCCTCCTCCTTCACCCCTGCCTCCTTCGTGCCCATGGCCCCTACCGCCTTCTCCCCGCCCGCCGCCGCCCTCGTGCTTGCCGTGCTCGCCGCCGCCGTGCCTTCCGTGGTCTGCCATTCTTCTTGCCTGTAGCGTTGCTGCTGGGCTTCGTGAGTTTTCTTGTTGATGCCGGGGGGGAGGGAGAGAGAGAGTGTGTGAGTTGGGTGTGTCGGCGAAGCCTCACAGGAACATGTGCTGGCGAGGCGGAGAAACTCGACAGCAGAGCAGAGCGAGCAGCTGGTCAAAGTCGAGAGAGCCAGCGAAAAAGAGGAAAAAACGCAAAAAGAAGAAAGTGAAACCGCCTGCTGCAAGACTGTCAACTGCATCCCCCGCTTCATGGGAGCAGGCGTAGAGGCATACCAGAGGCGTAGAGGTACTCCCTCACAGGCCTGGAGCCACACACCAGCGACACACAAAGGAACGGACGAACCATGGGGGACGACACGGCCGGGATGCTGGGTGACGACAGTAGTGGCGAGAGCGCAGGACAACAGCAGTGGGATGACTCCGACTCCAACGATGAAGAGGAAACGGTGAGAGAGAGGATAGAGGCAACCAACTCGCGCGCGCCACACTTCCCAACACCTCTCCCTCTACAGTCGTACCTCAGTACACGCATGTCTCCGCTCGACGTCATGTACCACGACGATGAAAGACATATGGATATATCCTATTGCATGACACAGGTGTATCTATTGTACCTCCTGTCAAGTCGTTCGTATGGTATGCTGCACGTGCATTTGCTACCGCAGGTGACAGAAGATATCACACCCCTGGACCTATTTTCCAGCTACTTTCAAAGCTTGAGTACTCCACGGCAGATAGAGTGGCGGTGGCGGGAATCGGGGGGTTTGAAGCATCTCTTACTGATCTTTCCGAAAACGTATCGCTGGATTTATAAATCCTCTTCGCCTTGGAGTAATCGAGCTTTGAAAATCGATGCAGGGGGTGTGCTATCTTGGGTTGGAATCGGCAAATCTGAGACATGGTCCTCGTCTGTTGGCGTGCACATATACATATGTAACCACACCCCAGCCCGGCAACAAACAGAGGACAGACACGTGTCCCTAGTGCTCTAAGGCGCCTCGGTTTTGTCCTCGCATGCGTGTTTTGGTGGAATCAAACGATGTGCGGGTGACCGTGCTATAATATTGAACCTGTGTATGACATGCGATACCACACCCCCAGGACTTATTTTCTACGAAGTTTTTCTAAGGTCGGTTACTCCTCGACGAAGAGGACGTGCATTCAAACGATACCGGAAAGCTCTCGACGAGACGGTTCCAACGCCTACTGCCACTCTCGGCACCGTCACCCTGTGTACTGCTGTGGAGTGGTCGAGCTAAGCTTTGAGTATCCGGTCCAGGAGGTGTGACATCATACGTCATGTCACCTACGGTACTGCTGTGTACCCAGCCCCTTCTCTCTATCACCAACCGCCCGATCAATAGCGTGGAGAGTGTTGGTAATCTAGTTCACAGAGTTATCGCCTGCTGCCACCCAAGATTTTGCAGTCGATCGGTGTATCCCCGATGATCTGGGCTGTTCGACTTGGTCGTCTTCTTCCTACCTAAAAGCACACATCGTTTGTGAAATTTGCTGGCAGTTCCAGCTGCGCAAACTTGAGTTGTCGGGTACTATGATAGGCGGCAGGGAGGGGATCCTTTGCTGGGGACATGTCAGGCATCCCCTTGCTTCGTGTATCAGTTACTTGCGCGATCGATTCCACGGGGGATATTTCAAGATGTCGGTTCGTGCCAGATGTTCGAAGATCCTGCTTCTCGTTGTGGTTGTGTGCGGACGAAAGCCAAAAACAGCGCACGGTTGCAGAACATCGCATTTCTTATGCCCCCTCCCCCGCCCCACGCGCTGGCAGTTTTTTCTGGATCCTGAAGGCCGCGTGCCTTTTGCGGGAAACGTGTCGTTCGACTTCCGCAGCGCCCCCAACGCTTTGGCGGAGGCCCTGTCACCCCCCGAGGTCCTCGCACAAGTCGTGAAGGACTGCCAGGTACGGATATAAAAAGTAAAAAATGTTTTTTTTGGCGAATCCAGAGAGGAGTGCTTGCATCAATTGTTCATTGTAGGAGAGCTGTGTCTTGTGCAGACATTGCCAAGCAACTACCACGAGAGGTAGTTTTTTCATACATAGTTGTTTTTCGTATGCATAGGTGAAGCTGGTTTTCAGATTTGAGTAAAGGACGCGGAGAGATCTCCAGATACGTTGCAGCGTACGAGACGGTGGCAATGCACATCCGGTTTTATTCGGAACACTATCCAATCTTCGCCCACCGTTTTGCTGTGATGTACTTCGAAGTACGTAAGTATCAAAGCATCAGGGTACAGCATTAACGCGCCGCCGTGGGAGGCATAGTTGGCGGACATGAGGAGCGGCACTGCGAACGCGTTCATAACCCTTTCCCCTTGGCCCTCTCTTCCGTCTGCCCCTCGGTTCGCCTTTCATGTGCGGCACACTCCGCTTTTCTTCCCGCTGGGAAAATCTCCCCAGCGATAAAGCTACACCTTCAACTGTTACCGTCGCCTTACCCCCCCCGCGCTACTTTTCGTTGTCTCGTCCTCATCTAAATATGGACTGCGTTCCCTGCGTGCGTGGGTGGGTTTTGGGTGCGGGCGTGCCTACCCTCGCGCACTTATGGACTGAAACACAAAACACGCCGAAAACAAGCATGCCGGGACCGGGGTATGGATGCAACCCATCATACCCTCATCCGATCATCCCATCATCCCATCTTCCCTTACTCGCATCATCACATCATCACATCATACCCTCATACCTTCATCACATCATTCCATCATCCCATTACCACATCATGTCCATCACATCATCGCATCATCACACCATTCCATCATCCCATCATCCCATCACCACATCGTGCCCATCCCATCATCCCATCAACTATCACATCCCCTCATCCCACCCCATCATAACGCCTTCCCATCATGACACCATCGCTTCCTGGATCACGCACACACCCAACGACAAGACCGTCTTCTCTGCGAGGGCGAAGAAACTGGAGTACAGCACGGGCGAGACCTTCTGGATACAGGTACAGTATCCACCAACTCGTACATTTGTACCCCTGCGATGTCTGTCGTTGGCCCTCACTTGCGTCTGTTGTTCCCAGGGCTGTAGTCGTTAGTAGTGACGGTGGTTTAGCAGCTTATTTTTCTTTTCTGTTTCTCGAAACTCGTTTGCTGTTGTGGGTGAAGTCAAACCCAGATGCATGCCTCTTACAACTCAGTGATGGCGTTCTTGTACCTGTTCGCGTCGACGGTTGCGGTGTTTCGCACTAACGCCGGTAAAATATAGGCCCGATCGCCCTCAGGCACCCCTGCCGTACCTTCGTAAGTGTGACCTTGTTACCTTGGATTTGCTTGAGGTATCCACCACCCCCCCCCTTTTCCCCGTAGCATCACAACGCCTCGTGGACGTCCACGACTCCGAACATTTCACTAGCATGCGTCACCGAGAAGGATAGCGAAGGAGACAAGTTGCTTCGTACGCGTACGCGTTGAACGGTTGGGGTAGCAGCTGTCGTTCTATTATGCTCGGCTTGCCTCACCATGGCACGTTTGTAGGTAAATCAGCTGCAACCCCCCCGGTCCTCTTGCACCAACAAGAAACGAACCTTCACATGGGTCATTGAGTGCCCCGTTTCCTGTGTGCTGTTTATTGTGCTGTGTGCTGTGTGCTGTTTATTGTGCTGAACAGGCCAACGCAGCCCCGCGCAACTGTCTGGAGAGGCTGGCGTTGGACGTATTTAAGGTTCACACGGCAGGAGCGAGGTTTAACCAAGAGACATCGGGCGCCGAGTGGTGGACGCAGGTAGGTCTATCTATCTGTCTGTCTCTCTGTGCCTGCCACCATCGTGTCCATGTCGCTCTATACTTTGTTGGTATCGTCCGCGCTATCCTGCTGTCCAGAGGAAACGCGTCGGTTTAACGAAACAGCACTACATGAATTACGAGTAGGGTGTTTGTTAAACTGTCATGCTGTAATCTAATCTAGCATCGACAGCTCTAGGCTGGCCAACGAAATGCACGGGTTAGGAAGAGAGGCGAGAACAGCCAACCGTTTTTTTCCCGTGTTTAGCGGATTTTGCGGGTGCCGTTTGTGATTGCCTTGCCTGTTCATGGGAAACTCCAATACATCTTCGGCCGTTGGTGTATTTCGTGTCTTTGCTCCTCTGAGCATGAACATGCTCTTACCTTTCGAGCGAGCACCATAATGATACTGCTGTACCCCCCCGCACACCCACCCACAACGGTACCGTCCCCGATGTTGTGTAAGCTGTTGTTCAATGCCTTGTAAATAGCCTTCAAATATGAGGTGGTGGGAACAGTCTGTGTAGGCTGTTGTTGAATTTTAGTTGTAGGAAATCTTCAAATATTGGTGGTCCGAACTGTCTGTGTAGGCTGTTGTTCAACTACTTGTAGGTGGCCTTCAAATACGGGGTGGTCCGAACAGCTTTGAAATTTACATGGTACTTGCAGGAAGCCTTCAGATATGGGTGACCCGAACAGCTTTGAAATTTGTTGATTTTTGTGCTCCCAGGGATTGCAAGTTCGTTGGCCATTTAACGGCTGCTGCTCCCTTCACGGGGGTAAATCACACAGGCATTGTTCGAAGAGATAGACTAGCGCTTCGCCTTGTGTTTTGCTCGATGCGTGCACTGCAGTAGCCGTGGCAGCGTTGTTTCAACTTGGTGATCTAACTTTCGGGTTGTAAAGGGTTGTGGAGAACACAAGTCCCAAATACGTAGATGATCGATGTCTTCAGATTTTGGAGGTTCGACGTAAGGGTAGAGAATCCTTGTGTGCTTGGAACCTCTTTTGGGGCATTTGTCCTTCTGTGTCCTCTCTATAACCGTGCCAGTGGACCCACGCCCGACAACCAACTCAAGGTTATCGAAGACGCGGATGACATCGGGTGGCACTGGGACAAGGATTACGGCATGGAGGCTCGTGGGATAAACGTGCACCCGTGTCTGGCAACGGTCACCTACCTTTCAACGAACGGAGGCCCGACAGTAGTCTTGGAGAAGAAGGTGACTTCTTGCTTGTCGTTGTTGGTTACTACTGGGGTCGTTGTCGTTGTCGTTGTCGTTGTTAGTGGTGGTTGTGTTTTGTTGGTTGTCGCTCTTGCTGTTGTGTTCCGTTGTAGTCAATGTTGTAGTCAAATGTTGGTGTTGTAGTCGTTATTATTGTCTTGACGTTGTAGCTAGTGCTTCTTGGCTTCCACAACCCGCCCGCGTATAAGACCAGGCCCGAAATTACAAATTACACGACGCATGAGAACCTTCACCAGCTCAACCAACGTGTACTGCTGTCGCTGCCCGTGTCACCCCCCCCGCCGCCGCCGCTTTGGTACTTCCACAGGGGCCAATGGCGTGCGAAGATATGGAAGAGGTCTCAGGGGAGGCCGCAAAGGCGTGGGTGAGTCGCCCGGCGCTGGGCAAGCACATCTGCTTCGACGGCCGCTACCTGCACGCTGCTCCCGCAGACCTAGCGCTGCCACCTCAGACTACCGGTCTCGACGAAACACCGCCGCTGGGGGGGGGGGGGTCCAAGAAGCGGGACAAGGACGGCGAGTCGAAGGTGGTTCTCCCTGGCAGCTCTGTTGACGGCAAGGGCGGCAGCAGCAACACCACCGCCAGAAGAAGGCGTGTCACTTTCCTGGTGAACGTGTGGCTCAACCATACCCCAAGGAACGCCGCGCCACTCCCGGCGCCGACAGCCGCAGAGCTCGGACCCTCCAACCTGGCGCTGAGGCTATCGTCCTCCGACTTCGTCCCGCCGATTCCTCTCCTCGTAGATGAAACGGCGGCACCGACGGGCTCTGGCGATGATGGTGCCATGCCTGGGCAGGGACGGAGATCGGTGGCGACGAAACAAAGGAGATTCGGTCCGGCCAAACCTGAACCTGAACGGCAGGAAGCTAGTGTTGCGACCGGGTCGGTGGCGGCAAGGGAGGGAGAGAAGACCGCGGCGGCGGCAGCGGCGGCTGTGGACATGAAGTGGGAGTTTGGGGAGGTCGGGGATGAGGCAGAGAAGCACCTTCGCCATGAGGTGCTCGTGCCGGTACCCATCGCCTTGCTACACCTTCCATCCCCTGCCGACTCGGAAGGTGCTGCCGCTGGTTGTGCTTCAAAGGATGAAAGGAGAGTCAGCAGTGGAGATGAGGAGAGGGTCGGCAGGAGCTTCTGCGTGGAGTACCAAGGAACCAGGCGGCCGCGGGTTTCTCGCGTGGATCTTGAGGAAGAAGGGTCGGAGGATTCGGGTAGTAGTGGAGAGGAGAGCGAAGAGGAAGACGAGGAGGACGAGGACGAGGACGACGAAGACGAAGAGGACGAGGACGAGGACGAGGAGGACGAAGAGGACGAAGAGGACGAGGACGAGGAGGACGAGGAGGAGGTTTGAAGATCAGGATGGCCATGGAGCAATAAGAGAGGCGTCGTCGCCACATGGAGTACGGCAGCTTCTGCTTGTGCGTGTGAACTTGTTGGTGGGAAACCGGTAGTATGAATATTTCTTTGGCCACCGCCCCCTGCTGTGCATTGGACGGGTGGACCTTTTCGTCTCATGCACGCTGCTGTTCGTTGCGGGCACAACGCGTCGTGCGATTGCGAGGTGAGAGTACCGTACGGTTTTTTGGGGGTCCGCCCCCCCCACACCAAAGTGTGGTAGCTAGTGGCCATTGCCGGGCCCCATGGATATTCTGCCGCCCGAGTTCCTAAGTATGCATATCGAGGTTGAGACTCGCGCGGAATCTTCGGGCGAAAGATTGACCCTACACGTGGCTGTAGGAAATAAGTAGGGAATTCTGCTGGCAGGGTGTCTTGATGTCGTCATATTGGTTTCGTGTCCATTTAATTGCCGACGCTTGCAAGGTGTACAACATGCGCCAATAGATGCCGTCACCCATGAGAACCTCATATTTTGCCCGAAGCTTGGTCGTTTCTCATGTCCTCTGTGGGAGGGACTAGGGTAGAGTGGGGTTCAAGCTCGTGTTTTCGAAAGGGTGGAACTTTTCGTAAGTTCCTGTAATATGGAGATCTTGAGTGGTGGCCCGATCGGTTGTACGGTAGTGTGGATAACTCGGGGTCCTTCGGTTCACACACAATACACATATCTGCGTTTTTGCTGATTTTTGGTTTGCCTGTTAGTAAGTTTATCTCATATCCTTGTGAACCAACAGGAGTCTAGTTGAATGATAGCCGAGGGTTTCCAAAATGTAAAGAGAACACAACAACAGGAACGGGCGACCATTTGGGTTTCAACGTTAACCTTTGTTCGTGTTCCAGACAAATGTATCGTGTCACATGGTGTGGCTCGGAGGGCATTGACGTTGTACGGGACGTACGTTCGTGCCCGGCTAATCATGGCCGGGTTGTTCATAGCACAGCAAACAAGTGGGCACGTAGTATATCTGCAGGCAAAGTGGCGTATGGAAACGATATTTCTACTAAATGTAACGAGCATCTAGGCTTGTGTGCATAGGCCAAACTGCTGTACTAGAGGTGTCGGGTGATGCATACAGTGCACAACAGTGTAAAGTACGAGCAGTTCCGGTTTATCTGCCCGCCTACCTCGCTCCGAGAAAGGTGCTTTCCACTTTGACGTAAAACGTAGGTCGGTATGACACAGCGAGCGGACCTCGCAACCTTTTCGTTTCAAGCCCTAAAGTCCCTTACCCTAATAATCCTAACCCAAAAACACTGACTTGAGGACCGCCGCCATACCCCCCCGATTTCATGAGCGCGGGTCGATTTCAGCGCGGGTCGATTTCATGAGCGCGAGCATTATTCCATGCCCCAGCTACTACATACCCGCAACGAGAGGGCTGCTGTCTCCGTCTGCAGTCTCTCTTTCGAACGGTTGTCACGTGCCACAGGGAGGGGTAGAGAGGTGGGCACTGGATAAAGGGGCCACCAGCACAAGGGCTCGACGGCACTGCTGTACATATGTACGTAAATTCTCCCGTGTGTATTTTGTAGTTTTTGATCATCCCTCAACTACTGTACCCCGTAGTACACCGCGCAGCTGTCTGTTGTACATTCGGCATGTTAAAAACGCAGAAGATTGCAGAGACAGAGGCGTTGAAATCTGAGTTTTATGAGGAGCGGAAGATAAAATATCTGTTGGCCAATCAGAGAGCAGCAGCATTGAGTCAGCGTGAAAGTGTTTGAAACCTGACTTGAAGGGTAGACTTGGGGGCACTTGTTGGTCTGCCCCAAGGAAGCACGAGGGAGGCTGCTGCAGCCAAGAGGTATTTCGGAGGAGATCTATTTGACTGTTATACTGTTTGAGTGTACAGTAGTCTAATGGATAAAAAGCCGTTCTAACACAGCAGCAGTAGAGTACCCCAGGTTGTACAAGATACATGACACTCCCTGGACCCATTTTGAAAGCTCGAATGCATATGCATACACGGTAGGAAAGCAGTGACGTTGTGCCGAGAAAAAATGGCGGCGTGGAGCCGTCTGTCTCCTCGAGCGAGAGCTTTCCCGAAAACGACTGCAGTGTGTAGACGAAACAAAATAAATCTGTCGCGGGGGGTGGTATCGATGTAACCTATGTACGGTTTGTTGGTTGACGCGGCCTCGGGGGGGGGGTATAATACGCAAAGTCCGCAGGCACACGTGTCCGCAATAAATCGCAAAGCGCCACAACCAACACGTTTCCTTCCTCGTCGTTTTCGTGGTGTCGTTACAGGGGTACCCCGTGAAACCGCCGTGATGCTCCTTCTGTTGTTGCACCTCCGAAGTCAACTCTGTTGGCTGCAGGTCAACCTTTTGCTACTCGGAGTACCTATCGGTCAACTGACTTCACACGCACCGGTGTGTTGAGGTTGGCATTAGGGTGTTAGGAGGGTCCAAACAGGGATGAAAGATGAAAGCAACGTGCAAGGGACGGCGAGACGGCTGTGTTTTGTTGTATCAACCATTCAGTACTTCAAAGAGACGGCATGCTGTTTCAACCATTTCACTTTGCCCGGAAGGGCGTCTGTTGGAACAAGACAACTGTGTCTCGCTTTGTCAACCATTACGTCGACAAGTCGGGAGGTCGGCTGTCAGTCTCTTGAAAAGAAGCGGCTGTGTGTTGCTGTGTGCGTGGCGACCACCACTTCGACATACATAAGTCGTGAGGGTTGGCTGCCTGGCTGTTGTGCAGAAACCCTGTTGTGCCTGCTCGAACGGAGTTACATTGTCACGATGACAGTCCCGCGACCGGACCGCACACGGAAGAAAATACACTACAAACTGCATATTTGAATTTTCGAATTTTCCACCGCTGGCAGTGGCGTGTGCGCAAGCATACGGGCGCGGTCAGAGCCAAGTGCGGCCTTTCGCCGCAAGAGGTGGGGCAGGTTCCTTCGAACCGACCCCCAGCGTTCGTTCATGTCTCTCTCCGCTTCATTGCAATAGCTAGTAGCTAACTGCCGTCGTCCGACAACGTGTGTTCATACAAACGTAGGTCCGCAGCGCGGCCACCACGCACGCTGTCCTGGGCTGCAGATGGAGATTGATGTGCGATGCACTCTGTAGAGCGGTAGGGGGAGAAATAACCCGCACAGGACGCAACCACAAGACCGCGTCCTTTGTTTGTTTGCGTCACCCCTCTCCGCGCTTGTGCGAAAGTCAGTGGTCCTGCTCGCACCACAGAAGAAGAGGGAAAACTTGGAACACTGCCGCCGCCGGTAATTGTCGCGAATCGGCTGCGGAAGCAAGCTTTCATCAACCCCCAAAATAGCTTCGCGGTGTGTAGTGGGCCAACCCTCCCCCACACAAGAGGGAGCTGACTTGCTTTGGAGGAGCACAAACACAGGGCTGGCTACTTCGAGAAGGCGATGAGCGATCGCGAAACCTCCGATGAGGAAAGTAAGTTTCGCAGCAGCCAAATCAATGGATGAATCAGGATGAATGCCAGACCCCGTCGCTGGTGAACAGGGATTTTCGTTGTGGCCCTCCTTCCATGGCAAAATGGTGGTTGCGTAGCAGGAGCAACAACAGTGAGAAGGGAGGAAGATACCTACTGCTGGAGCAGGTTACAGCCGGCCTCCCTTCCTCGCATTAGTGGGAACTGTACATCCAAGGCGTGATGCTGCCCCCTGCCGTTGACTTGAGTGCGCTGCCGCGTCGAACCCTCGTTTCGCAGGCCTTGAGGAGAAATCGGGCGGAAATAATGGTGGTGGATTCAACGCAGACCTGCTAGAAGACGAACCAGGTTCGGACTACTGCTGCACATGCACTTGTGCAGCACCGTTTAGCTTAGGGTCGAGGCAGTTCCATAGCAGCAACGCGAGGTCATGATGTGTGGGCATGTCCGCTCTCTTTGTCGCTGTCTCTCTCCCTCGAAATTTTCAATTTTGTCTCCACGCGCGGATAGACTACAGATAGATGTAATAAGAGAGGGCGAAGAAGCTCGTAGACTACACATGATACCCCGCTCCCCTCACTTTTTTTCCGCAATGATGCGTCGGTGCCGGCAGTGGAGGCAGACGGGTGTTTTTGCCACAGGTGTGGTACTGCAGTCTAGAGCAGCAGTAGCCATCGCGAGAGGCTGTATTCTTGACCTTTTTGTCCTCTACTGCTGTACATACTGTCCCGCTTCGACACTGCGACACGTTCATCTCGCGGCATGCGTGCTACTGCATGCATGTAGACTAAAACCTGGCGTCCAACAACCAACGCATACCGATGGATGAGGAGTTACCTGTGAGCCTGGTAGCTTTGCGCACGGGAGGTTTCCGACATTCGCTTCCGGCGGTCGCCTTGCAGATTGCATGCAGTATTTAGTCACATGCGTCCAACGTCCAAACTTTGCCCGCTCATTTCTAGGAGGACCTACTGCTTTCTGTACCACATACATCACTCAAGGACCTAATACTAATTAGTCCATACGTGTGTGGTGTGTGCGAAGTGCTCGTCCGATATATTCTAGCGTCAAGTCTACAAGTTAAGCACCACCTTTCGGTGCATGATATGATGTTTGACCTATCTATGCGTATCAGCCGGGGTCACACGGCAAGAAAGAGTCTTCTAGTCTTGTAGTACTGTATGTTGTATTTTTTTTGTATCCCTCCGCCTGTCTGTGTTCCTGCGATGCTTTCTTGATAACCTATCGCGAGGAGGGTCCAGGCGTTCTATAATATCTAATATCTGTACCGTTCCAACTGACGCGGACCCCTTCGTGGTCATAGGCCAACTGCAGATAGCACCCGCGCTTAGAAGCACCTAGCTTTGGCCGAGGCAGTAATACAGGAATTCCCCTTGCGGGCCACACATGGCCGCTATCTAGGTTTTAGTGTAGGGATTCATAACCGGGCTCACATATGGTCCTCAACTTCTAAAGTGCAGGCGCAATCTGTACCCAAAAATAGTATTGTACACCTTTTTGTTTACATGTAGAAATCAAATAATAACTTCAAGACGTAAACTTGATCGTTTTTCACAGCAGGCTGCAAACATTTTTTTGTCATCTTGTCAGCCAGCAAAGAGAGAATCGAACTCCGACCTGCTACTATTGTATGTGCAGCAGGGAAACCGTGGCAGTCGGCCTATTCAACATGCGCAAATGTTATGTCCGCCCTGGACCACAGCCAGCCCTACTTGTTGTCCCATGATGTGTTTTAGTGTGGATTACCTCGGCACCCGGCAGTAATTTGCTCAAAGGGCAACCCCTATCATGTTTGTCGTGGTTCCCATCAACCCTGTCGGTGCTATCGGTGTCGCGCCTCTCAACGAGAGAGCAGTGGAACAGGCGTTGTTTCATCTCATCTTCGGCTCCGCCATGCTCGTCTTGGGGACGATGGTGCTGTTCAAAATGTTTCAGTATCGCAACGTGCTGGAGATCCGCGCCAGGTGCGATTGCTACTCTCTTCTCTTTCGGCCGCCGTTGGCGCCATGGCTGTACGATTTCTACTCTCTCGTCTCTCTGTACATATCCTCCCCTGTTTTCCTTCCCTTTTTCTCGCCCAAGCGCCCACGTCATGCGTCACCTGTGACTTTAGTACATGCTCTGTACGGCTCGGTGTGCTGCTTGGCTTGCGTGCTCTCAGCATGTGAAACTTAGCTATTGTACGTATGTTGTATTGCTGGGAGAGTTAAGCTAGATAGCTGCCTCCTACTTGGTCGGACTGTCTCCGAAGAATCCTCGTGTTTGTTCATTGTGGTGGCCGTGTGCAAGCGATATTTTTTCAGGCTTCACGCAAATTAGAGAAGAAATCGCCATCTCCAATGGTGTGTGGGAGTCTACAAAAACTTTCTCTGTACGTAAGCACGCTTTAGACACAGTTCGACTACTGTTCTGGTCCATCTTGAAAACATCCTTGACGTGCCGGAACCCTCGGATGCCCTTCTACCTTTGGTAGCTCCCTTTCCTTCAGCGTTAGCAAGCCGTTCCGAAATCATGCGTCATACCCTCCTGCCCATCGTACTGTCTGAAAAACCTTCCGTGGCCCTCGATCACAGAGATAGGCGACAATCGCTCTTTCGCCCGCTCGCCATGTAGAAACCTCACGTAGGCTGCCTGTCGACTCACGAGGTGGATTCCCCTGCTCTTTTTTCTCCAAACTCTCATCAGGTCGGCCTACCTGGTGATGACCTTAGGGTTGTGCCTACTGGCCGCTTTGACCCTAGACGTGCACGTGATGTGCAGGACTCTGTTGGGCTGGCCTTCGAACGTGTTCCTTGTTCATTCGGTAAACATTTCAACGCGACAGAGCGCGCGGGCGTCCACGAGCTTGGGTTGTGTCCGCATGTGGCGCACATATTTTGCATGTGTGAAAGAGCCCCTAGGGGATTCGGTCTCGAGTTCTCAGAGTTCACGTTTGCACTGAACCTTCCCCATCGACTCTGGTTTGGTTGCGGGGGGGACGGACGGCTATATTGACGGTTTGTGCGTACCCTCTACCCTGCCCCATGTACCTGCGGCGTTCATGCCATCTTGTTTCCTAAGAATGTCGACGTGGTGAACCTCGAACCGTGTCAATTTGTTTCGTGGACCCGCTCTGGAGGTCCGTGGTAAATCTAGCCTTTCGGAGCTGTAGTTCTCGGTCCCACAGGTTTGGACGCATCTCGAAGGAGCGGGTTATCGAGAGTGTTTCGCGACCCACGAGTGCGGTGCCAAGGTTTTAATTTAAGCCGATCAGAGCAGATGCCGACTCTGTCATATTCTGCGACGGGCAAATAAACAACCTGCCGTCGGGGGTGGCGATTTATTCGCCTTCCAATAGTTGTCCTGTACCCGTCTTGCGTGCAGTGTGGTCTTCGTGTATTCGTTACCATCCCTGCCTGATTCTATTCTACGCTCTTTGCTCGTCGCGTGCTTCTTCGCGCCTCGCCCCTAAACTCAGGGCTACTTCTTCATTATTTTTTCGATAGAGAGCTGCTACATCTGGCGCGTTATTCGCCTTGGCGTGTCCTTCAGCCCCCGGGTGAAGAGGTTCATACCATGGGTAATGTGGGTAAGTTGGCAGCAATACTCGTGATGTGCGTACCGTGTCTAGCAGGCAAGACGGTGGGTCGACCCTTGGTGCTACCCGAAAGAGACAGAAGTCAACCCGTTTGCGCGAACTCGCGTGGAATCCCCAAGCCTTAATCAACGCACGACATTTTTCAGTAAAGGGGGAAAGGGTTGTTGGTGCTCGCCTCGAAACGCAATGTTGTTGATGCGATGACCGCGTGGTTGTGAGTCCGCCCCAGTCCCCCCCCGCTTGCCTCAGCAGGCCGAAATGTTTTCCATCTGTTGTCGGTGTTTGTCTGCACAGGAGAAACTTGCCGTGGTTTCGAGCCTCAGTATCGGCGCAGTATCGACTGCCATCCCAACTTACTACTACATCGAATACGGGGGAGGCGACGACCATGAGTGAGAAAAAACTAGCATCGATTCTTGGGTACTAAGCTCTCTAGACTTGTGTCATCTTGTTTTCCCGCATCACCTTCTGAGACGAGAAGAGGTGGGCTTCAGAGTCTAGCCGGGGGCACCCCTGGCCTGTCATTTGGTATTTACCACCGCGTTCCTCTGTTTTGCCACAGTCGCTCCGCATGCGGCTCAACGCAGCACATTTTGCGCTCGAAAAACGTGTCGCGAACGCTCATCGTTCAGGATCGCGGTACGATGACAACACGAACAAGAAAGGTTGGATTACTGTTTGGAGCGTTACGAACACCCACACCGTTAAGGTGTCGTGTGCAAGAAGGACGACAACTAAAACAGCAGAAACCGAAGCCCTCCTCGTAGTTGTTCGGCTGGCGTTCGTTCACGAGACCCAGCGAGTTCGGTCCGTGAACTCTTCGTGTTTTGCGTAGCAAACAGCACATGAACAAGGCTAGAGTTGGTAACACACACAACCGTGTGAGACGGAAGGCGCCCCTCCTGCAGACGCAACCAAGGCTATGAAGCTTGGAGACGCGCAGCTAAGCTCGCGACAACAATTTACGCGCTGCCGGTCTCGTTTTTCCGTCCGCGAATGCATGTACTGCACCCCTTTCATGTCCACTAGCCGCTTCCTCGCGGCGGAGCTGGATGCCATGTGGGTGTGCCATGTCGCCCTCATCAGCATACAGCTGTGTTTGCTTCCAGTGGTGTGGTGAGCTATGAGCAACAAAAGACATCACAAGCAGCGAAAAACGTGAACGTTTTCTCCCTAATTGTAAGCTCTCGCTTACCCTCGTTCCTAGGAGTGCTCGCCCATTCGGAAGTTCCGAGTTGGTTTCACCTATCTTTGTGGTGCCCATGCCTCAGGTCAGAGCATGCGCAGGAGAGCAACCGTTCGCACAAGCTTGCCCTCCGAAACAAAGAAAAAACTTGCGTGGCCTTGATGCAGGAACAACAAAGGCTGACCGAGGTTTCGCCCTAAGCTTCTTGACTCTGTTCCAAGATCTTTGTGAGAAAAAATGCTTTGCGTACCTTCGCCCCCGCCTGAAATCTTCCATTGTGCCGTAAAACGTGTGCAAACAGGTTGGTGGACGATATCTTCAGGATTTCTTGGGAGCTCTGCATCGCAGCTATGTTTGGTGTCATGGACATAGGTACGATCAATACTCTTCGTTTTCGTTTTCGCATGACTCGTTCGACGCCGGTTCTGCTGTATCGCTGGCCTGATTGCGGGCGATGAAAGTGCCACGATTATTGGCGAGCGCGCTTGCCATGATTTGCGGTAGAGATCCACCCGTGATACCCTTGATTGACCTACTACGGAGGTGCTATTGCGACTTACGCTGACCCTAACGCCTTTCGCGATACTACCACCGCTCCTCCTTCTTTCCCACGTCTCCGAATTGCTCGCTGGGGCTACCGTACCACGACCACTACCAACACCAACAACTAACTCCGCAGTGGTGGTTCGGCTAACGGAGACAAACTTCCTATCCGACGGGGTCAAGGTGAGCGGCGCAGTGACACGGAGAGAATACTCACAACTCCATCATATTCTCGCCCGCTCACCAACGCCGTAGGCTGGTGCTCCTGTGTTGTGTTTTCTACCGATCTTTCTCGGAACCACATTGTCGCGAAGCACGAGGCTCAGGGTTTCCACTGGACACGCTTTCTGGGTGTGCTTTGACGCACGTCCTTCGTGCTTGTGTGTTCTGGACATCTGTGGGTGGACGCCGTTCATTGGCGTACGTTTGGCTTCCAGGCATTTGCCACACAGAGCAAGCAACCTCAATAGTCGTTCTGCGCCTTCAACTTTATGTTCTCGACCGGGCGCTGCTCCTCTTCTCTTCTAGCAATTGAGTAGGTTGCATGGAATGGCAACAAGAAGATTATTCCAGATAATTAGATGCGATATCGATACCTACTCCAGTGGTTCGCTGTACGGTCGTGGTTCCGATCGAAGAGGGCACCTTATAACAAGGGACTCCGATGCTAGAGGGTCGAAATCGGTTGTCACGGACTCGACCCGCAATAACAAGTTTATGTACCTTCTTACATACTCCGATTTTAAGAGGGGGCTCCGATATATGAGGGTCAAGGGCCTTCGTCACACCACCCTCTTAAAATCGGAGCCACGACGGCAGTCTCGGGGTGCTTGTGCGAACAGAACCCTGTTGAATTTTGTCGCGGGGGTCGACCATTTTGACGCAAGCATTGGGCGAGACGAGGCCTAGATCCGCGATCGACTCGTCATGTGCTCGCGACGTTTGAAGGGCGAGGAAGGGGCAGAGATTCCTTCTCGTCGCATTTTTTCCGAGGTCGTTCCATCGACTCGAATCCAACGCTCCATCCTTGAACAAAAAATTGCAACCATCCTCTGGCGAGGAAGGAACACGGCTACGGCAGAGAAGAACGCGTTGCAAAGCTCTCCTTTTGGTTCGATGTCCTTCTCAATGAGCTGCTACCTCGTGCTCTGATCACAGCCACGCCGTGGGAAGCTTAAGCTTCAGCCGCATTACCGGTCTCGATTATATGTTCTACCGCCCTTGGCGCAATTTTCACGTGCGGGTGATTGTCTCGCTAATCTTACCTAACACGCCTCGTGCTCTCGCCGTCGCTGAACCGACAATAGGGGTTCGTCAACAGCCACAACATTGGCTTGTTTTGGACAGTTGTGCTCTTCGGTCTCAGGTAACTATCATAACTCCTCCGCCCGACTTCTCCACTGAGGTGTTTCGCGTAGTAGCAATGAGGGGCTTAGTTGGAACACACCGAAAAAACACGGAAATACCGCTCCTGACAAGGACTGTGCGTTTTTATTTCTTAGGGTTCGAAAAATGGCAACTTAGGTTAGCCGTGAACAACGAAAGGTGTCGTGTTGTTTGGGTGTAGATTGAATAACCCCACGTGATGATCGATGTTTTTTGCTCGCCACACGGACAAGCAGTGTAGTTCATTTCTTGGCTACGAACGAGCCCTAGCTCGTCGCTGTGTGTATAAAAGCTTAGCCTTGATGCCGGTTGCTGTGGCCGAGAGCCTCCTATTCGCCGTGATCAATGCCTTTGGGTTAGAGGGTTAGATACCTTGCTCTTCGACGTCTCTCTCTTGACATCGTTCATTGTTAACCCCTTTTTCTCTCGTTTTGGCAGCGTGGTGGACCCAGTGCGACGCGTGATGTTCAACCCCATCGCGCGACCGATCGTCGTTTGCAGAGAACAAATGAGGGCCCCCAAGAGAAATGGTTCACGGTGAGTCTCGACTGCTCTGCCTAGTCGGTTGTCTATCCGGGCACCATGCTGTACTGTCCCCTGCAAAAATAACACGGGAAACGTCCCTTTGATTGATTGGGGCATTGTCTTGAACGGGAAGTCTTTCTGTGATTGCACGTATTCTTTGAAAACGACACAAGAATTCTGTCAGTAATAGCTTCCGTGTGCAATGAGTTGCCGCCCCCCTCCTGCTTCCCCTCTCTCCCCCGGTGTTTGCCGTCGGGGTTTGGTTTTCGTCGCTTGGCAACGACGTTCCGATTTATTCGTGAGCTCGGCAACCAGGTTATTGTTGTGCTTTTTTGCCTTTGTTCTTTTCCTTGTTTGTTGAGGCCATTATGGTGGTCGAGTAGGTTATGTTGTGCGGGATCGAGGACCCTCACTCCGTGCGAAGGGGATAATCGCACGGCACTGTCTTCAATTGGTCAGGCACGCTCGAGGCAGCTCCATAGTGCTGATAACCGTCTCTGGAAGTGAAAGCACCAGAAAATAGATTGAGTCATTCGCGGCTGCCATCCGTATGCAATGAAGTAAGCACAAGATGCCGAACATCCTTAGCAGGATGCAGCTCACCCTTCATGCGGCTTGCCGAATACCTCACGGCGCTTCGCGCTTGGTGATGTGAGTGCCTGGTCCGGTGAGAACCCGGCGGGCTCCGTCCCGGCTTTGTAGAGATGCGAGGTCAACGGTCTAACGACTACGGCATTGCACGACTATGAGTACACCCCCCTCCTGCTTCCCAGACCCTAATTACGCCCGCCCAATGAAAAACAGCCGAGCTAAACACATGTCCAGTGATGCGTTCGGCTGTCAGAAACACCGCGCCTGGATGTCGCCGCCGGATGTTGCACTGCTGTCACTGTCGCTATCACTGTCAGCGTGACAAGCGATGCTGGGGCAAGGTCAAGAGTTGTTAGGCATGGTGGCTTTTCTACCAGGGGGCGTGCGAGACTTGTCTGTTTTTCTTACTTCCCACGACGTGGCATCGGCTACCCTCCCTCCAAGGATCTTTGCCGTCCCTACCGTAGGCCAGTGTGGGGACATCGCAACAGTCACGACCGTATCCAGTAGCTCGGAACCCCATCCCTCTCCCCGCGGAGCCAACTGCAGCCACGCCAACAAACATCGCATACCCGCTCCCATCCAACCAAACCCCAAACTGATCTGACCAGCAACACGGGCATGGTTCGGGCGAACTCTGGCAGTGAGACAGAACTTTCCGTCCGCAGCAATACCAGCAGTCAGGACGAAAGCCGCTTGTCCGACTGCGACGAAACGGCTTCCACGGTTCGGACAAAGTGGAGCTACGACACGATGACCACGGTGCCAGAGGTGGCTGAGGCCTTCCGGGGATTCGCGCACCGGGCGCTGTGCCAGGAGTCCATCATGTTTCTGGAGGCAGTCACCCAGTGAGATACAGTAGATGCTGCAGCTGTTGCAAGGTAGCAAAACAACAGCGGTCAGTGCCTGTTTGCGACAAGGGTTGTAGGATGCTCAGAACTCCAACCGTAAGAGACGAATCGGAGAAGAAGCCACCTACTTCTGTAGCGAGGCGTTGGTTGAAAAATGGAACTATTGGTGTTGAAGAGTGGTCGGATTTATCGTTGCTGCATCTGACATCGAAAAAGCCACCGGGAAGGCGCCGTAAGCGAGTGTTTTTGTCGAGGTTTACATTGTGCATCTACAGTAGTTCGCTGGACTAGGCGCCTGGGCGGTATATAGGTCACCGCTCACCTGTCCCTCGGGTGCTTCGATGGCCTCTACCTCTACTTCATGGTCTAGCCCGCCAAAGGATGCAAACTAACCAACTTACATCGGAGAGGATGGAGGATGCCAATCGCGTGTTCCGAGATTTTGCCAGTAGATGCATGTACCGTGCCAGGTGTTAATATCCTTGTCGTCGGACATGGTACGGGGACAACGAGACCTATTTGGCGAATAGTGCACTATTCGCAGCTTGACAGTTTCTTCCGCAGCCGAAATATATTGTCAGCCACATTTTCCCTGTTCTACGCCGTCCGTTGTGCGCCAACTCGAAGCAGGCAACCGAGATGAGAGTCGATCGAGGCATCCTCTGCGAAAACCGGTCCTTCCTCTTGTCTGTCAGCCATATTTGACCCAGTACACCCTTTGTTTGTTCCACGTTGGCGTGCAGGACGATTCGACCGAATCTAACTCGTTGGTTGTATGATTTTTCCTTTGATCGTTGCCCCAGGTATGAAAGCGGGGACTACAGCATTGCGAAGCCTATAGCCAGTCAGTTCGCGGCGTTCAACGCGATAGTCAAGCGCTTCGTAGCCGACGGGGCGCTGGATGAGATCAACATCGGGTGAGGCTGCGGGCGGGAAAACACGAGATGATCGTGAAGCGAGAATCGTTCTCCAAGAGATTAGAAGGAAGAAACAATGTAAATAACCCGTAGGGTGTAGCGGTCTGTATTGCGTCGAAGAGAGCAGGAAATATGTTTCCGGCCGCCGGGGCATGAAAAGTATGCCGAGCATCACGCGGGCTTGCTTGGCCGCCGTCGCAGCACCGAGTCTCTTGCTCGTTTCGACAGCGACGAAAACATCGTCTCGAGACCACCCGTGATTGCAGAATAGCTTCCTCGTCCTGACGCCGCCCCTGATACATTCTGCCCCCTTACGACTCTCTGCCTGTCGCCGGCGCGCGTTTGACGACACAGCGGTACGGACAAGGAGCGCATCCTGAAAATCTTCCAGTGCGGTTCCACCGCGTTTTTCGAAATGAACGACGCGGGGCGAAGGTCGGTGGATTCCGAGGACAACTGCATAGTGACACCTCACTTTTAAATATGTTTTATTTTTTTTCTTACAGACAACCCAACAAATCCATCCCTTCCCGCAGACAAGAGTCCGTAGTAGGATAGCAATGATATACGATAATGCAGTCTTGCACGGTGACCAACTCATATTTCTACGGTTCCCGAACAGCATTCTCCCTGTGTTTGTTATTTAAGCAACCGCAATGAAGTGATCGGGGTTTCTTGCATGGTCCATGGGGTCAACCTTATGCTTAGGGTTATCCCCTGCAAACCGTTTCTTCCTCGCCTCGTCGTGCATGACTTCGGCGCGTGATGTCCAACGTTTCTGTCACGTGGCCCCTCTCCTGCTATCCGTTCTTGTACGTGCGTATACGACAGCGAATTAATCCCCTTTCTCCCAGCATCTGCTGATGACTTGTCTGTATGTTGTCCTGTCCCGTGCGACACCTACCGCTGCCATGCTTTGTTCACTACTGTCCATTGCTGTCTCCGTGTCCAGGCTGGTGCTCAACAAGGCATATATCGAGATCAGGGACATGCTGGAGACGAATCTCTTGTATCGGTTTCTTCACACGGAAGCCTTCAGAACGCTCTTAGCGGAGGCCGACCCTGATCCCGGACCCTTTCCCGCGAGCGGCGGGCCCTAACACCAGCGGGAACATGCCGGCGTCGGAACCGGAACGGCCAATTCTTGTGAAGATGACATCAACCACAGCGACAACAGCACCGACAGCGACCTCCACACCATGCGTACGGGGGGGCGGGGGAGGGCTGTTGTATTTCATGCTTCCGCAGTTTTTCTTTTTTTATGCCGACCGAGGAGGGAGTGTTCGACTGGTTCGGTGTTGCCCTCGAAGGCTTTTTCGCGTGCGGCGGGATGGTTAGAAGGAACCTTCCCACTTACTGTTATCTCAGGCCGACCTCATGGTGGCACCGAGGTTGTTTGCTGGGCCGTCTCGAATTCTGTGCGGGTGGATTTTGCGCTGTTCTCGCGCCGGCAAGTTTGTACAGTGTATGAAGACCTTTGTTCGATCGTCGTCGAAGCGCGACAATGAATGTTGGGATTTTGCCGGGGTACCGTAGTGTTACTGTAATCGTCTGCTGGCGGGTGGAGCTTGATACTCGTTCATGTATTATAGTAGATTTCCAGGAGTGGGGCTACGGCAGGGGTGTGTGTGTCTTTTTGTCATTAGCATCGACCGAGCTCTGTGTATAGGGATGGGGGAGGAGACCCAGGACACGCTCACTGGTTTTCTAGGGTCTGGAGAAACGAAGGGGGCGGTGGCTGAGATTATCACGCTGTACCGCCCGCGGTCGCTCTGCTGTTTATTAGAGCTTGAGGTTTGTTTTAGGCACGCTCACTTGTTTCCGGGAGCTACTTGGAAAACCGCACAGCAATCAAGCGGCTATGACCAAGGTTGCCACGCTGTACCGACCGTGCCTGTCATTTTACTGTTTATGGCGTTGCGGCCATGTAGCAGGCAGCTCATGATCTGCACACGTACGTGGTAGAAGTGTGTTCCAAACGAATACTCAAACGAGCGGAGTGCACCCAACGGGACTGGTCCGTTCATGACAAGGCGCATCGACATCAAAGGTTGACCTTTCTCTCGTAGCGGTTGTCATGGGAGAAATTCCTTTTCCTCAGGTCAAGCCTGCCGAGAATTTCCCATCGCGAATGAATGGTAAAGAGCAGTGGACGTTGGGGGCCCGTCCGATTCTCGCCAAGATATTGAACATGCTTCCTCGATCTGGCAATGGCCAGTAGCCTTCGCGGGTCTAAATTAGCAAGCAACAGATGGATAAAATATGGGATCATCGGCGGAATTGCGGGAGATGCGGTTAGGGTTCGGGTTTACATAACCCCTGCTTCTCTATTTCATAGATGAGTGTAATTTCTTCGCGTAAACAGACCATATTGACTGTTGTGTCGGCGCGCAGATTGGATTCAGTTTCGAATAGAAGATGCAGGTTCGATTTCCCTCCCGCTCTTGCGTGTGCGGGGTGAATTGGTGTTGGAATTCATCCATTTCTTTTTGTGCTGCGCTCGTGCATGTGACTATGTAGGGTAGAGTTGCTTTTCCTGTTTTCGCATGACACCCCGCCGGTCCTCATTGTAACTTGAATCAGACATTGACCAAGACGTGTTTGTCAGGAAAACCCGAGAGGGGATTAAGGCATTGTTCCCCTGCATGTCGGACGTCCAGAGAGTATAATGTACGTGCACGCCATACATGAGTATTTTGAAGCTCTTTATGACCTCTGCAGCATCGCTCACACCCATGCGCTGTCGTGTGCATCGTTTAGTAGAAGTGTATTCGAGAAGAAGAAAAAAAAACGATTTGGTTGGTAACGTGTTTGGCCCACGCATGTGCATACCAGTGTCGGGGGCTGAGCGACGGACTCTTCCGGTCGTTTGTCCCCTTGCAGCGCTCGCCGCTACCACACCCAATTCTTCCTCACAAACCCTCCGTTTCTCCTCATCCTTCCTTCTCACCTTCTGCTGCAACGCGTAAGTTCGACACGACCTGCTGCAGCAGGCCGAGAAGTGCCGTCAGCTCGCGCGGGGAAGGCGGCAACCCCTCCCCGTCCCCACTGCCTATCGTCTCCGATGTCTCTCGAAACGCCTCCGCACACAGCCAGTCGTGTCGGCAACGGAGCCCCCCCTCTAGAACCGCGAAGACAGTTGAGTCTGCCCGGTGGCGACCGCCGTTCATGTTGCTGCTACTTATGTTGCTGCTACTGCTACTGCTGCTGCTGCTGCGGTTGCCACCACTGCCATCACTTATATCTCTGTTCTCATCTTCAACAGTGCCTGCTTGCGAGGGTCTTGGGAACGGGTCTTCTCCCTCTGCCTGCTCCGTTCCATCACGAGGCAAGGGTTCTCCGCACTCTCCGCTGTGTCTGACAGTTTTCGCCCCAATCTCTGTGGCGCCTTTAGTCGTGTCGCTTCCACCGGTTTCAATGCTGCTGCTGCTGCTGCTGCTGCCGGCGTCTTTCAATGGCTTGATCGGATCCTTAGAAGAGAGCTCTGCGGCTGCAAGAGTTGTTGATGTGCTCCTTGGTGTCGGTGACTCTGAACCACCACCGCCGGCGAGAGGAACGCCGAGCCGTCGAAGCAGCTCGTGAGCGTAGCCGTTGGCCTGGTCCTTTTGCGCGTATCGTGCCGTTTTCCGAGTCATTACGGGACAGCGCGAGACATGGGTAAGGGGGGGCTTACAATAGCTCGTTGGGAACTAATGTATCGTAGGTATTTTCTTGCGGTGTTGGGACTCATGTTTAGGGCGGCAAACGCACTACTGTGCACCAGGATCTTTCAAGAGTCAGCCAGCTGGTAGTGCCAGGAATGGCACAGGTCGGCAAAGGTTTGGGTCAAGTATCCAATCGTTGTCTGGTGTCTGAGATGTAAATTATCCTCGTTTGGTGCCGAAAATCTATGTGAAAAGCTGGTTCGCTTTCTGGGTCATTCTGCTACATACATACCTGTATGAGAAGGATTGGACCTATACAGCAGGACCAGGGCCCCTGGAACTGATGCCCTCAGTAGGAACATAGCCATATTCTGGAGAAGAGAACAGGTTTGACCAGCTATGGCTATGCACGCCGCTCTGAGAGCTACGCGGCGGGGAATACGGAAATCGACCCACGACGTCGGCGTTAAGAATCTGTTTTTTTGACATTAGTCCCGTCGTTCCACCGACCTCGATGTTAAACGTGGCAGCCAGGACGAACATTTCCATCAAAAACTCGGTCGAGTAGCCGGGGCCTGAGGCGGTGAAAGTGTGAGGAGCCCCCATGTGCGCCATCACCTAAAGGCACACACGATTGGGCACGTTAACGAAAGCCACAACGGGGGAAGTCTCACTCGGATGCACAGCACCGAGAGAGCGGGACACCCACGAGGGCTGCGGGGTACGCGGAAAACTTCTTCCCCGTCGAAGGGTAGATTCTTTTGTTCTTTCCTTTTAGCGGGTGTCCTCCCACATCGTACCAGCAATGTTCCTCGGCGGTTGGTATTGCCATGGACTAGCGATCTCCCCATGCGTATCGAGACTCCATTCTAAAACTTCCACAGCCGACGGAGAAGACCAGACACAAGCAATGATCGCATTCTAGGGCTCAGAAGTGTTGACAGCACCGGTCAAGGGACTAACTGCCGCTTGATGAGCGCCGCCGCGATCGCAAGGGTGATAGCCGGTGCACGCGAGCTTCCTACACATTGGCAATACGGCAGAATTTGAATCCAGCAGATACAATACACGAAAAGGAATACAACGCCACCGGTGGATACTCGCCTCTTCCCAGGTACGGTAACGGCCACGCAGCAGGGGAAGTTCCCCCGCCGGTGAGTTGATGATCACGTCTCGCAGGCGGGTAGACGCCCGGCAGATAACCTCGAGTCAGAAAGAGGCCAAATCACACAGACGTAGTTTTGTCGGACAGGCCTTGGGTTAAGAAACAGCGAGCAGAAAATTATGTTTACACCCAAACGAAAGTAGGTGAGATTTTGCAGTAGAATACTGTTCATAGTATCGTGATGTATCGTGATGTATCTTGCACGCGAAAATATTGATGGACGGGTCGCGTTTCATCGGGGAGGAGTTTCGTTTTCGTCACGAAAAGGCCTCGATTTCCTCCGACCACACATCATCGCTGATCCCGAGATGTTGATTGTCATTCTACACTTGAATTCAGCCCACCGTTGTCAGGCGCCGCGGGTCATCCGATGGACGAGAGCGTCAAAGATGAAAAATTCTGTCTGTAGGTATTCCGAGGGCAATGGGTTGGGCATTGTGCGCATGGATACTGCAGTGTGTGCATCTCCACGAAAACACGGGTACGTCACCACCACAGGATGAAGTACAAGTGGACATGACAGCTCGACACATGACATACGTGCGGTTAAACGTCTTCGCCACACCTTGTCTCATCTGGCACTTTCTGCGTCTTGGGTCGGGCCATGGTTCAACTCCCCGCTGTACAGGTGCTTTCCTTCTTTCCCCAATTTTTGAAAACATCACACGGAAAAGAACTTGGGCCTGTACAATGATAGGCGAAAAGTTCCTCCCACTGCATGGACAAAATGTACGAGAGAGCGAACCGTGCGAAATCGTCTCACCTTTCGCGGCGGGCAGGCCATCTTGATGCCCTCTTCCTCCGTATGCTCGCCTCGATCACTTGAGATCCCCTTCTCCCTCTCCAGACATGTCAACGGGTCTACCACGAGAACCACGGTGTCTTCTTCTTCCTCGTCGGCGCTTGGGTCACCGTGGGCACAGTAGGAACGATGACACGACATTCACCAGAACAGAGGACGGAAAACGTAGTGGGAGTGAACACTCTGAAGGTTACCTGGCCGTTCCGAAGCGGTTGGCGTTCGAAAGGCGTCAGCTCTTGGCAAGTCATAATTTTTGTGCACGTCTTTGGTGCGGGCGTTTCGTCAACGTGCACAGCACCACGCCAAAAACCTACGCGGGTATCACATGGTTATTGATATTGGCGGGAAACAATATGATCTCCGACGCGTTCACGGTGTCACACAGAGCAGCTTCCCTCCACGTACGTCCCAGCATCTACCCCTACATACCTGCCGGTTACTCGTTCCTTTCGCCTCCCACGGCAATGTATGTGCACGCAGAATCATGCAACACTGAGTACAAGAGTGCTTTGCAACAAACTATGCCACTATATGCGCTGGGGAGCTCGGCCCCCCACTTTCCAGTTCTCGCCTCCGAGCCGCCAAAGACAAAACACACTACTGTATCAAAGCTGTTGCTGTTTCTTCGCACTCACCCTCCCCTATTCGTCGTTCAAGAGACGAAATTCGTGCGAGAAGACAACATCACCCCGGAGACCCACACGCACCTCTCGGAAGGGCCAGCTAAACCGCCGCCATCCGCCCACCCCTCACGGCTGTACCCTCCTCCTTTCCCCTCGTAGTACACCACCCCCTCTGAGAATATGTTCTGGGGTGCGGGATCCCCCCCTAGCAGGGCGGAAACCGTCCTCAGGAACGACACAGCGGCGGGGCGGCCAGTGGGGGAGCGCAGCATCCCGAGGACAGCGGGTAGCGCGCCGCCGGTCACAAACAACTCCCAGGCCTGCAGAAGCAGAGGACAGTAACGTGGTGATATTGTTGTCGTTGATGGTGATGATGTAGCGATTTTTTTCTCCACGGCCGGTCGCGATCTCTACGTAAAGCCTCCAGTACCGGCCAAACAAGCTAGAGACAGACGAATGGCCGAAAACTACTGTCGTTCATGAGTGTATCGCACATTCATCTGAGTTTTAAACGAGGAGTATAGGCCTAGCGACAGGAGTTCCGATCAGGCGTTTAGAGGGGGGGGGGGGGCTGTCACCCCAGAAGATCTCGGTAAAGTCGGCACCAACAAAGAGCCCCAGCAGCAACGTGTCTATGGTGACGTCCTCGCTATGAACCCCCCGCAGCCTCCGCCGATACAGGGATATATCATGAGTGACAATTTCATAGGAACGCCCGACGGGAAATTTATCGGACGTCGACATGTTACGGTTGCATGCGTTAAAACCGCCTTACGTGCGATCGTGGTGGGTGTGCAATGAATATGAACAATTGCTGGAGGTTGCAATGGAATCGAAACAGGCATCCATCGGCAGGTGACCCCTTTCCCACAACCGACGCACGACTATTGTCGAACGGAAGACCGCTCGAAGTTCCTGCGTCACCAAGAGCGATTCCCAGCAGTGGCACCGGGCCTCCTCTAACACGCAGGACAGGGCTTGCATGAGGAATCAAACACCGGAGAACGTCGGGATATTGCCGACGAGGAGCGTCGCTGTGTTATCGGCAGGCTTCAAGCAGCTGTAATCGTTGCTGGATGACAGCCTGTCGTCAAACCGCCAAGTGGAGCAGTCTCGCCTGGTACCGACCCTGACTCTGACTCAGACGTTCGACCCACGAGTTGTGAGGCTTAAGCGAAGGTTTGGGCTTCGTATGGGAGGGGCCGGCGCAGCCTGGCCGATAATTCCAACCGAAGTTCGGTTTCGAAGGCCCGACACGTTGCATTCTCAAAGGTGTGGGGAGCATGTCCTTGACGACAAGAAGACCAAAACACCAAACAGAGCGCAACCAACCAACAACCAACAACAACAACAACATCATCATCAATAGGGTTCTCACTTCTCTTCCCAACACTCCTCCTGTCCCGGCCGACAAGACGGTCAGCCCAAGTGCCACGTTCGCGCGCAGCTTCCGGCTGCCCGACGACATCACGGAGCGCACGAGCCGCCCGGCGTGCCGCCCACACGCCTCCGCAACAACGGCCTCGAGGATCACTCTCGCGGCCTGCCTGGAGACGATACTCCCGCCCCCTCCTTCCACCTCCGCCTCCAAGGTAGAAGGAGCGACCCCTCCCCCGGCCATCCTGAGGATCGGCACACAGCCTTGCTCGATGAGGTCGATAACGACCCACGCGGCAGGGCCGTCGTGGACGGCGTGTTTGAGGTGGGTGTTGTTTGGGGTGGAGGTCAGCGTCGCGGCTAAGGCTAGCAGGATTGCCGCGGCTCCGTCCGAGACGCCCCGGCGCTGGTGCAGGAGCAACCAGCACAGGGACCGGAGCAATGTCCCGCTTCCCGCGCGGACGAGCTGCTGTTGACGCTCGCGCTTGTGCTTGATCGTCGTCGAGGCCGCTGACGACGAGTGCCTGGATGTAACATTGAGCGCGTCGGAGATGTGTGTGGAGACAGGGGGCAGCAGGACCAAAGCAGGGAGTGAGAGTGAGAACGAGGTGTTGTCGGGTGAGCGCTTCGAAAATAAACGCATATCTCCGTGATGCTCCTTCTCGGAGAAGCTATCTTACGATGCTAAGCAGCCCCCTACGAGGTAGACAAAATACAGTTTCCGTGGTTGGACAGGACCGTCTTGGCTTGCTGGTGGCGATGACGCAAGAACAGAGGCAGATTGCAGTGCGGAAATGAACGGGTCTAAAGACGTTCACGAACTAAACGGCAACCACACTAGCTTTTGGAATATTCGAACGTGTGTTGTGTCTTCAACAGGCCACGTCTCTACTGCACTTGCGGGAGAGTAAACCGTAGACACTCGAGACAGCCTGCTCCGGCGAGCAGAGTTGGTGCCATGCCTTCTTCTCGCATCTTGCTTGCCGGTCTCGTCCGCAGCCCCTTCCTCGCCGCGGCCCACGTACGCCCACCCCTCCAGCTCCTCAATCCCACGCTCCAAGATAACCACCCCCAGTTCTTGCTGAAACGGACAGTGTGCGTCGAGCAGTACGGGTACTCTTTGGACGGCGCCGAGACGCTCTAGCTCCGAAAATACGGCACCAGTTCTCTCCCCTCCACGCCGACCATGTCTCTGCAGCGCCGTCAGGCGTTCGGCTCTACTGCGCTCATGGCGTGCGGGGGCACTCAAGACGTCCGCGCCAACCCCATCAACACAGGAAGGGGGCTGATCACCCACGGGGGTGCGTCCAAGGTCGGGTGGCTCCCGAGTAGGGACAGTCCCGCTGGATTCTGTGGGATCGATCGTGGCCTCCTGTCGTGCCTGCCTTCCCCTACGCCAGGACAATGAGCGTCTCTTGCCTCGCGCCCGCCGCGGCGTCTTTCCCTTGCTTTCTCCGTCGCCTTCCTGCGCAGCACCCGCTATCGTGGTACCAGCACCTTGCGGGCGCCGTCCAATCTTGCGGCTTCGTCGCCTGGCATGCGGCGGCCCCGGCGGTGGTGGCGGCTGTTCGCCCATCCGCCCCCGGGATGACGATTCCACTCCCGCCACTGCTGCCGCTGATTCCCCTCCTCCTCCCACCTTCCGGCCGGTGGTAGATCGACGAGAGTTTCGCTTGCTTCCACTTGACGCTCCCTCTCTGCTGCCTGTCGGCTGCTTCGATGCTCCTCCTCCTCCTCCCCCTCCTCCTCCTCCTCCTCGTCCTCCTCGTCCTAATTTTACCGTTGCCAGACGATGCGCGCCTCCCCGAAGACCTGCGAGGAGGATTGACGCCGCCAACAACGTTAGCGGCTTGTCACGCCGAGTCACACCTCCCCCGCGGCCTCCCTCGCCGCCGCCGCTGAAAACCGCGTCGACCGCAATTGCACGAGGCGACGACGCCGATAGCGCAGGCTGCGCTTCGTGTCCTCCCCCCGCCGTCCGTAGTCCGCCTTCGCTTAGCGGTGGTGGTGGTGACGGCGTCGCCGTCGACTCCTCTGTTGCCGTACCGGGAGGCGGCGGGTTTGCCGCGTCGGGATTTTCGGAGGCTGGCGCTCCGCGACGGCTGACACCGCCTCCACCGTCACGTCCCGTAGCTTGACCGCCTCTTCGCGGCAGACCCCGTTCCCCCCAAGACTTCAAATCCGCCGCTGTCGCTGACCCCGATGCTGCCTTGTCGGGGACCAAAGGGCTCCTCGCCGGAGTCCATGCTCCTGTCGTCATAGGTCTTTTGACACCGATACCGTCACGCCCACCGCTACCACCGTCCGAGGCGGCAAAGGAGACAACGGTAGATGTCGTGGAGTTTCTTCGTGAAGGAAATAGGCGCGGTCCCGGCATACTCGTGCGCGGTCGGCGGTGGTTGCCTTGTCCTTCCCGCGCAGATAAGCCATCACCGTCTTCGAGTTGTTAGAAGGGAGATGCAGCATAGATCATCAGACCGAAGTTTCATCGTTGCTATCAGCGTCATCTTTGTCATCGCAATATCTAAAGTCCAATGGAACCGGAGGGATTGAGCTAAACCGTTGGCGTTTTCCATTAGTACGGCTTTCGTTCACGTCGTGTATGCCATGTTGAACGAGGCTTCTTTTGGAAAGTATACAGATAAGACCAATCACGTTTGAGAAACAGCATCGAGGTTGAGCCTCTCAGGGCTGCGGTGCCAAGTCAACTGTCCTGTCTACGGCGCGCAAGGCATCATCTTTGGAACACTGCCATGAACAATGCTTTAGGTGGCACCTTGAGAAGGCCAAACTGTGTTGTTGCCGCTAAGCTCGAGGGTTTCGCCTACCCCCTCACCGCTTACGATGTGTCAAAAGCAGGCTAGGAACGTTTCCATTCAAATCCATGCAAAAAGCGCATGCGAGGGAGGTTTTTGGAAGGGACGCCTGGCTAGATGGTGTGCTGAGCATTACAATAGACCATCCGGGGTACCAGCTTACCACCGGAAGCTGGCTCCTCCCCCATGGCCAGGACGAACAATGGCCAAAGCCCTCTTGCGCTCTGAATGCTCTCGACAGCAGTGGCGTCTGCCTGCTCGCGTATGTGCAAAAAAGCTTGAGTCAATGGGTAACCTCTGTGAGGTTTGCCGGTCCATGATGTCGCCAAAGTATTATTTCATGGCTTAGTGGTTTCCGAGGCCAACGAAAATCGAAACTGAGTCTTCAAAACTTGGCGCTGTTGGATGCAACCACGCGGTCGCAGCTGCAGAAGATTGCGTACCACGATGCCTCAGGACGTATCATAGACACCCCAACCACAGAGAGCAAAACAAGCGGTCATCCGAAACTCCAGAGCTGTTCACAGCCATTATACCACAGGTCACCCTTCCAAGGTGTGGTACCGTCGTGCAGTAATCTGCGGGGCATCACGAGGTTCACCTGGACAATGCTGTAAATGCAGCTCAGGGCGTTCTCGCGTGTCTCGTAGTCGCCGATGGATGTCTCCGCCCCAAGACTCCCCAAAGAAGCGGAAGTAGCAGTAGCAGCAGCATCAACAGTACCCGATGATGCCGCGACATTGCCATGATCGCCTAGGATCTTCACCTGACCGCCTGGAAAGACGATCGCTAGCAGGGTGGTCACGCGGTGCTCGTCGTGCGCGAACGCCTTAGCGCAATCCTCGCTCTCGTGCAGGCCTAGGGCCAACGCGCGGGATACATGTCGACAGCCTGCGGCGCGAGAAATATTTTTTTCAGAGAGGGCGCTTAATTACCCCCCTTGATTGGCCGATACAATCGTAGTTGTTCTGTACGTACAGCAGTACATACCATGCCCCAGAGCGATGGATAGTACCACTGGCTGAGGGAACGTGCATGACTTCGGATTATTCTCAGACACACTCGATCAGCAATACTGAGGGTTCACCCGGGACCCCACCAAGACTATATTTGTGGAAACAAACGTTTCAATTGAGCCAGGCCAGGATAGCTACGAACGTGCAGATTGCTTTCAATTCAACCTCGGCAAGGACTCCCCTTCGTGGTTGCTTGCAACAAAACAGGCCGTACCTCACAATAACTACATAATCGAGCAGTATCGGTGGGTGAATGTCATCTCTATAACCACCTACATTCTTGATCGTTCCTAGCATAGTTATCGGATAGCAGGTCGAACAGCTGCGACGCCACATCCGCCTCGACGGCGCATCGCCCAAGCTTGGCCAAAAGGCGGAACAAGATGTCCCGAACCTTCGATGAACAACTACCTTCGGAGAGTACGACGTCCGAGGAGCGGCCACGCGCATTGACAGAGAGGAAAGTCGCATCGCAAGCATCCCTCCGATGCAGCAGTTGTCTGTGAGTAGCACAACGGTGTACACTGGTCGCGGAGTAATCGATCATCGAAACAGACTTGGTCACCGTTGGCGTATGCATATGATCCTGAACGGAGAACATCGTACATGCTGCAGGCCGCTTGCACAAATACAGACTTCCATGACATACAACATACCAGCTGATACAACCCATATGTACGGCCGGATTTGCTGCCGTGCTATTGAAATTGGGGACCGAAAGCACCACCCACCTTGTACAACTAGGGTTAGTACCGAAGCAAGAGCTTCTTCGCCCCAGGAGGCTGCCAACGCGCTACCTTCCTCATCTCCGCCGGCACCGCCTCTTCCTGCCGCAATGGCGGTTGCGCCGCATTTTGTAGGTGCAGCGCGGAGATCGAGCTTGCATGCGAGCAAGGCTGCCCCCAGCTGGATTCTGTCAGCGTAGACATGATCAGATTCGTTTATGGAACGCCGACGAAGGAGGCCAAGGACACCATCAACGCAGCCTAGCCTTCGCAGCTCCAGTTCAAGGTCAACTGCAGGAGGCATTGGATAACAGCACGTGTGAGATTTGCTTTTTGTTTTCTGTCGTGTGTTTTTTTGACCGCCATCCCAAGGACGCGCGTGCGGGGAAACGATCTTCACGCCAACGAAAAAGGGGAAACCCCGATGTATGCCAAAGTCCCAGACCTCTAACCTCTCTCTCAATCGGCTAGCTGTCGTCCGACTGTACTCTGTACTCTGAAAACTAGCTGATACTTCTTGAAGATGCGCGGGATGTGCGGGAAGAGCAGCACGGAGAGTTGGAGGTTGGTACAGATACAGCTAGCTGCGTTCGCCTCGACGATGAATCACAGCAGTCCCAGATATGTCACTCACATTCTCACTCTGCTTGTCCCCTCTCGACCTATAGCCCACACCTGACGACGGACATGCCTCTTGCACGGGCAACAAGAGCAACATCAATGGAGCTGCCAATCGTTGCCTCTCGAAGCAAAAACGCCCAGCACACGCGGTATAATGCAGGTGTAATCTAGAGTGAAAGTAGTGCATCACTGCTTGCGACTGTTGTAGCAGCTTCTGCAAACACCATTCACGACGCACACCGCAGTCGAAAAAAGGAGGTGGTGGATTTATTTCGCTGGTATCTGTGGACAACCACAATGACCACTGGACCACGAGTCAGCGCAGTCATCGCGCTTTTCAGTAGTATATCTTCGTTGGGCCTTACTTCCAGGACTAAACCTTGTGAGTTCGAGCTCCATCCTGTTTTTTCCTTCGAACCAGGCAATCGATACAACCGCGACTGAATGACTCCAAAACTCCTCTTGGACTGGAAAAGAGGCTGTGGGCATACCATGGCATAGTCCACAGTACGCGGGAATGAATCGTCAGCAGCCATGAACACATCTAATACACCTGGTCCCGCACAACCACGATGGACTTCGTGATGGCAGCAAAGTACAATACTGCTGTGGCGTCACACAAAGGTGGGCCAGAGCAGTTAGCCATCAATCAATACTACAGTCCCTGGTCAGAGATGGCACCCCCTTGTCCGTACCATGAGGGCATTCACGGCAAAGAAAACCGAAGACATTTCCATGGTTTAGCTCCCAAACGAAAAACAATCGCGCGCACGCCAAAGAGCAAACATCTATCCTCTATCCTCGCAGTTATGAGTGGCACCCTTCTGTGCCTACGAAGGAAACGGTGGAATGAACGGTCCCTTGCCTTCGCCCGGGGCCAGCACCGACCCCCCCCATCTCTATTGTTCAATCAAGTTGGCACGCCGCCAGAGAACAAAAGCGCGGCTATACTGTGTTCTACATGCGCTCGAGCACCTGCCTGTGCTTCCCCAAGAGCGCGGCGCGCTCTACAATGTGTTCATACCTCATACTTTTCACCTTCCCGCCGCGGCATACAATACTTCGTCGGGACTTGATAAACCAACAGAGACAATTTTACCTCGCGTCGGCCATACCGCTACTGCCACTCACTACACGTACAGACCATATTCCACCGTTCGCTCATTACAGACCTTCCAGGTGCCATACATAGCTCAGACGCCAAAAACGGTTCATCTAAAAGGACGTGCCGCTACGCGAACACGTCTCACCGCTAGCTGACTTCAAGGCACTATGCGTGGCCCACACGCCAAAAAACGGTTGTACTGTCTTAGGGTTAGGGTAACCCTAACCCTAAAACCCTAGTACGACATCGGGGCAGTGAGGGCGGCTTCCATCACGCGGGTGAGCGCGTCTGCCTGCGTCCTTAGCGCCGACATGTCTCCGGAGATCTCCACGCCCAGACCAGCCGCGAGGGCCTCTAGTTCGTCGAGGAAGTGGGCCGACAGCGTGAAGCTGTCTGGGACAGAGATGGGGTCGATGACGAAGTTGACGGATAGCTTGCCGTCCAGGCTTACGGCACCCACCTACCAGGTATAGGATGTAGGAAACGTATGTAGGAATCGCGTTGTGATGGTAAGGGAGAGGGTCGTGATTGTGAAGGTGAAGGTCAAGAGGCGGCGGGTTCAAGGACGGTGAAAGAACCAATACGGAATGGGATCGACGGCAGCATCATCATCAATAACAACAGCAACAGACATACGAACACGAAAGAGCAACACGAGAGACAGAGACGTCAACAACTTACATGACCAAAACAACAGCAACCACCATCGAGGAACAAACACAAAAGCGATACTGGATAGCCACACAACAGCTCAAACACCAGAGGATACCCCCCCCTCCGTCATTGAAAAACAGCACACCTGTGGCATGATGTTCGAGAACGCGAAATGGATCCTCTTCATCCCAACTCCCGCGAGTCTCACGGGCTCCTGGGGACCAGGGACGTTGGACACCGTCTGGAGAAACAAAACAGGCAAAACGACGCAAGCAAGCAACAAACATCGACACAAGGGCGGGCGGGAGTCAACTCCTCTGATGATGTCGGAAACCGCCATGTTGGAACTGCTGTTATAGTGACTACCGATTAACGCTGCTTGAAGTGATGGGCGGGGGGGCGGCATCACAAAGCCCTTGGAAACGGGGTACAGCGGGAAGGGTACGGCGGGAAAAGGTGTGATGAGTGAAAGCGATCAGATCTGCAAGGCTTCATTTCATTTCGTTTCATATTGTATTGTACGACCTGTCGGGGAGCTTGAGCAGAAATGAAAAGCACCGGATGGGGTCGTGAGATTTTCGTCGGAAACAGCTCGCGTCAATCAAACATGTCGTGCTTAGCGGTGGCTTCAACGCTCCCTTCCACCGTACGGTATACCAAAAGACAAACGGGACGACCGCTAAATCTCTTCGTCGAAGGGGAGCGAAGAGAGACAGGGGACAAGGGGCGGCATCCAACAATACAACAATGGATGGTTCACCTCCGTGTAGTGTAACGTAAGAGGAAGTCGTCACAGTGCTGTAGCTCCCCATCGTCGCCCAGAGGGTCCGAAAGACACGCTCATATACGATTATCATTTAGGCACATGGCATCCATCATTTTCGTTCACGCCACCAATCATTCAGGCACATGCCATTTATCACCTTGCAGAAACATGCCTATCATGTAGGCTCGTGCCATTTATCATTGGGGCACATGCAATATGTCATTTGCGCAGCTACGCGAAAAGTTTGTGAAAAAAAAAGAAAAGGGGGGGGATTCGTCGGGCAAGAGTGAAAAGCACAAGGGAGGGGAGTCGTACGTGAATTTCCGTACCCAAAATGAGTCCCCTCCCCGCCTTGTTCCCGAACCAACAAGGAGAGGCTGGGTTGTACGGTGGACAAGTTCGTTTCACGCCCGAACGGCAATAGAGTAAACGATAGCTGTCGTTCAGAAAAATCGTTGAGAATTTAGAGCTAAAATAGGTGGTCAAGAGAGACGGGTTGAGTATTACAAGCGATCGTTTATGGGGAGCAACAAAAATGTCGAACAACAGGGAGTAAGCTAGCAATCAAGCAGCCATTATTTAAAATGGGGCAAGCACTAATTGTTGGACAACATAAACAAAACGGACAACAGAGGGGTTCAAAGTGCAGTCAATCGGTCGAACTTTCACAAACTACGACAATACGGTCTAGTACACCATGGCCGTGTCACTCCCAGGATCCGGAACGCTTTCGGCGTCTCGTCTCG